CCCCCCCCCCCAAAACAAAACGCAACGAAAAGATCGAAAAAGTATTTGATTATCTTGTAAATATTTTAGGATGTAACAGAAATGCTATCTCAGTTTATAATGAGTAAATCAGATAAAATTGAACATATAAAATTCTGTTCATGCTTTCAAAGGATATAATTAGACACAGGGAACAATATAATATCATTGTTACATTTGAAACTAAAAACCATAATAACACCATTAATTATGGGGACTCGACTTAACTAGTCTCTCCAGAAATAGGTCTTCATTTCCAGAGGCTCTGTCTAAATCACTGATCAGTTAATAGGTAATTAGACCTTTTTACGATCTCACTTTGGAGAATTTGTTTCAAGGGACAGATTTGCCTTTTTGGGGGGGGGGGGGGGTAGATTTTGGTCTTGAATATGTAAAAAGTCTTTAGAAGTTCTAGAAATGTACGAAAATCGCTTAATTCCTTGAGAAAAAAACCCTCTAATTTCTACATAATATGTCCATTCTACATGGCAGAGTCTCAAGAAAGGCGAGTCGTTTTGTTAACTTTCAAACGCAGATGATTTTCCTGGAAACATTTGGATTTGAAGGCTCAAATTTTGACAGTGATCCATGGACGCTTTTACAGGTATGCTTAGTTAAAAAAAAAAAATCACGTATCAGAGACTAAATTACAATTGGCAAAAAAAAGTGGCCAACCTGTTTTTTAAGAGGGTGGAATAAATATTAAGGATATGAGAGGCTGATGCAAAAGATTATGTGGATTCCTACCCTCGGACAATGGTAAAGGCTTTAGGATAATCTGACCTAAGTGAAATAAGAAAACCACATGAATGAGATTAAGGGCTTTTGAACGTGTTACAAAATGAATGAATGAAGGTTAATAGCAGTTAGAACTATATATCTTAAATGATAATATTCAGGGTTGAAAATCTGTGGAGCGTCTGTGCATGTTCTACGATTTGCATCGATGAGATAAGCAAAATATGAGTGAGCACGACAACCATGAAATTGGCAAATGAATTTTTAGGTACCACTTTTCTATGAAGACATTTTTTCAGAATAGAAAGCACAGTTTGAACTCATTTCGATGTGAATAGACACAAAAAATTAAACGCCTCACACTGATAAAGCATTTTATTCCTTTAAAATTGTTTCATACTAATGGCATTTATGCAGATATCCGAAACAATAACAATATTCGCAATATTTGCGATTGTACAATGTGAAGTATTTAGAAGTTAATACATTTTCTCCTTGGTGATTAGTGTTATAGTCTTAAGGGGCTTTTGTCTGTCAAATAGACGTGTCTAGAGTCTTTATTTTGTCGCTTAATATTATAATGAAAACAACAAATTATATAATTTTATACAACACACATCAATAGATCGAAAACAATTGGGCCAATAAGATTACACGACAGTGTTGGTGAAATTAAGCGAAATGACTCGCGACTTATCATTGGTTTATTTATTATTTTTCAATAATAATGTCTTATAATGTTATACTGATTGTTCAGTTGCCTATATCAATAAAGTCTATGATAGGTCAGGTCAGATATTTCTTGCTGTGGGAACCCATAAATTGACGGGAACGACAAAGATCGTGTCAGTTTTAAAAGATATATGAAACTTAAAGTAATCTTTGAAACAAAAACCCTGCCAGAGCTCGATATCGGAATTTAGCTTTAAAACGTTTTACGGAATCTCCAGTGGTACATCTCAGAAATGCCTATGATAAATTTCTGGAAAAAATATGAAAAAGTGGAAACGATCGAGATAAAAGGGACAAGCTATATAATGTGCAGAGCCATTCCTTAAATGCATCTTTTATACTGGATATATACCATGTGTTGCTGCTTACCAGTCAGATAGGGAATGAATAGTAATCTATTTTTGATGTTGTTAGAATAGTCTCTACTGTCATATGCGTGATTGAATAATGATATAGTCAGATGGTGATCGAATAATGATAAAGTCAAATAGTGATCGAATAATGATATAGTCAGATAGTGATCGAATAATGATATAGTCAGATAGTGATCGAATAGTGATATAGTCAGAAAGTGATCGAATAGTGATATAGTCAGATAGTGATCGAATAGTGATATAGTCAGATAGTAATCGAATAGTGATATAGTCAGATAGTAATCGAATAGTGATATAGTCAGATAGTGATCGAATAGTGATATAGTCAGATAGTAATCGAATAGTGATATAGTCAGATAGTGATCGAATAGTGATATAGTCAGATAGTAATCGAATAGTGATTTAGTCGGAACGCATAGTGATCTGTTTACTGATTGTGAACAAATAGTGCGATAGTCTGATGGTGATCGACTAGTAAGTTATCTATTATCTGATGGCGATCGAAAGCGATTTATTGTCTGGTGGTGATCGAATAGTTATCTATTGTCGGATGGTGATCGAGATCGAATAGTTATCTATTGTCAGATTGTGATCGAATAGTTATCTATTGTCCGATGGTGATCGAATAGTTATCTATTGTCAGATGGTGATCGAATGGTAGTAGAGTTTGATGGTTATAAAATGTCATTTCATACTATACTACAATATTTGTGATTAAATTGTGATATTAAAGAGCGACATCATATTCGAAGTGAACGCTATTATAAACAATATTTTAAGTTGAAATCTATCACCATTCCGACAATGATTGAGGTAGTCTTTACATGCTTAATAGCAATGCTGCTCATGGTAGTTTCTGTATTTTCCAACGTTCTCCAAATAAGGGTGATATATAAAACAAGCCGAAGAACTTTAACCGTAGAAAATATTCCTGTCATCAATTTGTCAGTTATCTGTATATATACCAGCTGTACTGCTTTACCTTGTATTGCTTTCTTTTCCTTTCAAGATTTAGTTACGCCATTAACTCCTATTTTATGCAGATTCCGTGTGATTGGTCCTTTCCATACAATCATATTGTTGCTTATGGGATTCTTTGTAATCGCAACCGAAAGATTTTTATCAGTCGTATTTCCCAACTATCATAGAAGTCAGATAACAACAAAAACTGTTAAAAAATGGTGTGTGAGCTCGTGGATTTTGATATATGCCTATGTGGTATTCACTGCGTGCATTGCAGAATCACCATTTCAGGAAGACACTTTGTCCTGTATTATCGACATGCGAATTTTACTGATTACATGCATATTAGCATCGCTGATTGTGGTCATTACGATAGGTTTCTATATTAAGATCATCAAGATAGCCCATTCTCGTATAGCTCCAAATGGAGCTACCCAACAAAAAACCCAACAGTTGAAAAGGGCTTACGTGATGTTAGGACTTTTTTCAGTTTCTACAGGAATCTGGTTACCAATAATCATATGCTCTTTATTTGTTCATTTCCTTGTTCCAAGCGTTCAATATAATTTCAAGTTATTCATAACTATGTTTGGATTCAGTAGCTTAAACTCTAATTTTGTGATACACTGGAAGAAATACAGAAGTTTTCAAGATGAGGCCAAAGCTTTTATTCAAAATGCTCTGCCTCCAAGATGTCGAAAAAACATAGACGAACACGTTAAACAAAATGTCAATGACGGTATTAGTACGATTACATAGTACTGTCATATTCGGTTACGAATTGCCATCATATACGGTGAAATGGTGCATTCATATACGTTTTCAAACTGCAATCATATGGTTAAAAAAAAGTTACGGTTACATGGTGCATTCATTTACGATTACAAAGTGGAATCGTATATACAGTTACAAGGTGGAATAAGATATTGTTAAAAACTGTTACATAGTATAATCTATAAATACTGTTACATAGTATATCTATTAATACTGTTACATAGGGCATCTACCAATACTGTTACACAATGAAACTATAAATATTGTTACATTGTGCATCTATAAAAATACTGTTCCACATAACATCTATAAAATCTGTTACACATTGCATACGTAAATTATCTGTTAAATTGTGCTTTTATAAATTTTATGTTACATCGTCCATCTATAATTTCTGTGAAACAGTGCATCTATAAATTCTCTGTTACATTGTTTATCCATAAATATTCTGTTACATATAGTGCATCTATAAATTTTGTTACGTTGGGCATCTATAAATTCTCTGTTACACAGTTCATCTATAAATATTGTTACATCGTGCATCTATAAAAATGCTTTACATACTGCATCTTTAAACAGTATGTTACATTGTGGATCTATAAATTATCTGTAACATTGTTCATCTCTAAATATTGTCAAATTGTTCATATATAGATTATGTTACATTGTTCATCTGTAAATTCTGTTAAACAGTGCATCCATAAATTCTCTGTTACACTGTGAATCTATAAATTCTCTGTTACATTGTTTATCTATATATTCTGGTGCATTGTTCATCTATACATATTTTCACATAAAATATCAATTGAATACGGTTACATAATGTAATAAGTACACATCTGCCACTATGTTAAATGTGGTTTATAATCTGTGATGATTGTAAATAAGATTTAGAAATGTATGATTACTGTCTTAATAATAGGGTTGGTCATACAAAGATTGGATTACATCAAGGAATTAGATATGGAAGAATTTCAGTAGTATGGTGCTTAAATCAATTTCTTTTCGTTATTATTTTTTGTCGGTTACAAGACAGTGAGATCAACAAAATAATAACAAAAAGAAATTATTATCTAATTTTGATAAATTTGTATCTATAGGAAAGAATTAAAATCATTTCTTCTGAAGGAATTTGCAAAACAGACAATGACTGTAATGAAATTGAACAATGTTCCCAATGCAATTACTTCAGGGTGTTGATGGTAAGGGTTCCAGTCTGCCATGTTACATATTTTTGATATGTACCGGTAATGTTCTTATCTCAGTGTAGCCTACAGTAGAATCAATGACGCCCTTAAACTTAAAATTTAATGGGTGAATCAATATTTTCTTGTTTTGAATTATAACGATAATTAATTCTGCTTCGAAGTTCAATGTTTATAACTGTCTTATTATAATTTTGCTTTCCCTTGCCACCTAACCCTAAAGTGACAAAGGAATAGCTCAATCGGTAGCGGGTTGGATAGTCATCTGCTAGGCGATAAGGCGCCGTGGGTTCGAATCCTCCTCAAGGTAAGAAATAGTATGATGCCCGTGCCTGTGCTTCCTCTAATACCTAACCATTACTGTGACCAATTCATTTTGATTCGAGAAACTAGCGGCAGCTGCGGTTGTTCCGATATCAGCGTTCTCCCACGTCTAACCTACTAAACCCAATTAATGCTTGATCAAATTCTCTCCCCAGAGTTCAATTGTCCCAAAATTCTGCTTGCAGCAGAGTCGATCTAATCTCTCTTCAAGATCACACCCAAATAGCCTACTTCTTAATAGATTTTTTACAAATCCAATCTACACTTGATATATATTTTTGTACTGTTATATTCAAATGAAAAAAATTTATTTCATTATATTAGGCCTATCTGAAAGGCATCGTCACGGAGTTACATGTGTGCGGGACTTTATAGTTTTTGCCGCTATATCAGTCCAGAATGTCATAAAAGCCAGGGGAGGTAACTATAAATTTGTTGTTTTACTTTCACTTTCTATCACTGTGGTTCTTGTAAAAGTGATGGGCAGACGGTACTTGAAGAAACAATTGTTAAAAGAAACCTAGAAAATGTAAAGCTACGAGGATTTCAACCAAAAATTTACTTTGAATAATCTATTTAATCTTTTCTCCTTTTTTTCAAACTGTGTTGCAAGCAACGTGTAATATATGGACAGCGGTTTCCACAAATAGCGTATGAGAGCTTTACGGTTGTGAAACTTCCTGGTTTATCACCCTTTGTATTAAGAGTTAAATATGTATATTTTATTATAATTTTGGTAGTGAAGTGTCCGAAATGTTGTAGGCCTACATAACATGTAAACACCTTAATAAATTACATCCTAACCATCAAATTTGTAACCCTGTGCCAGTGCTTTCTGTTGAATAGTAACTTGTGACCTTAACCATTAACCCTAACCCTCTTTACTATAATTATATTCTTATGTTTACCCTCTATTTTTCAATTCATCTGATGATGGACGACACATTTAAATTGTGTTCAAGTTACCAATTAATATGTTATCAGGTGGAATAATTAACTTGCCAGATAATGAAGATAAACTAGACTAATATCAATGTACTTCTTTCTAATTATTCCAGATTAGTGTTCTATTAAAAGATTGCTAATAGACTTAATGAATTAGAAATGGCATCAAAGGTTTGTATGTCAATGTTGGTTTTTTTAAAGATAAAGAGAATTTTGGAGTTAAATTTCAGCTGCCAAGATTCCTTTTAAGAATGAAAAACTAAGACTAGAGGTTTGTCTTTAAAAAGTGTGTAAATTGCGCTCAACTCTTTGTATACTAATTGGATTTTTGCTAAAACTTGAGCCAGTTAGTAACTGCAGTATAGTAAGCTTCTGATTTAAAATTGAGCACAGATTTTTACACAAAGATTGTTTTCTCTCTGCAGATACTCTGTCCAATATTAAGGAATTTCAAACTCTCATTCATAGTTCCTAAACACCATCCATACACTATTCCTTTAACCAGTTTCAGTACTAATAAGGTAATAATTAGTGTAAGTGTGGCTCCAAGTAGTTGATATTCCAAATTAACCTTAGAATATTGTAATGTGTAATTCTTTTATATGAGAAAGAGATATCTAAATCTTTGCTTTACCAGCTGATAAAGCTCAATTTCAGCTCTTGGTAGCAATTATTTGTTTGATGAAAGATTTTAGCAATGGTATATTTCCTCTTAGAATGACCAAAAAAGTGAAATTTTTAAAAGTTATCCAAATGGATTTTGGTCCCACATTGGACTGCCCTGGTTTCAAAACTATACAACAGAATCCCTCTATAATCCAATAAATCAATAAAACTAAGTAATAATCCATTAAACTAAGTAATTTTGAAACACGCTTAGAAACGGTTTTCAATAATTATGTAGTTTAATGGATATATCATGTAATATAAAGGTTCTATTCTTAAGTCATTTCACCTGGTAAGTTCAACTGATGAATATACGAGTATACTCCTATTGACCAAGTTTTATGTCCATTCTAAGAGGAAGGTTTTCTTTAATGAAGACTTAATCCAGTATATATTTCTTTTTTGTAGGGATTCCATTTTAAGGAATTAAAAGGTGATCTGTTTGGCTGTGAAGAAACTGATGCTTTAGCTCATTGTATCAGTGTTGATGCAGCCATGGGTAAAGGAATCGCTGTATTATTTAAAAAGAGATTTGGTGGAGTTCAAGAAATAAAAGATCAAGGTATAAAAGTTAAATTTTTTCAAAATCTATGAAAGACTAAAAAGGTATGATCATATATTTGCACTAGCTGCTAAGAGCTCAAATTCAGCTGTCTATATTACATTAAAGTGATAGGCCTACGGGTCGAAAGTTGACACAAATTTGTCTGTTATAGTACATGTAAATGTTTTGCCATTTTCAGAAACGGGAATTGTTCAGGTTAGCAAAACTGTTGTAATATTCACAGCTTAACATCAATATTTGAGCCATCTTAGCCATGTGTATATATAATTATTCGTCTTTGAAAAGTGAAAAAGCGACTTGTCTTTTTGCAATTTTTTTTATTTTTAATATCCGTTGATGATGTCATATGTAGACTCAATCATCCAGTCCCACTTCATATATGCACAGCTGTGACGAAAGATGTCTGGGTGTTAGACCAAATTAACTTATCAGCCTTTGAAATGAAGTCTTCTGAAGACTATCTATATTCAAGGCCCAAAGCAACCCCCGAAAATGGCAAACCACAGACTTTAAAAGGAGGATTTGAACACATGGACATGGCACTAATTTTGTCTTAATATTTTTTTTGATACTTATACTTGTAAATACACAGAAACTAGTGTAAAAAAAAAACCAAAACTGATAAATTTTACAAAGCATTGCATGATTTCATCAGTCTTGTTTTTGTTTCATGTCATTATTCTTTTTTTCAGGTAAGAATGTTGGGGAAGTAGCAGTTCTGAAAAGAGACGCTCGATTTGTTTATTATCTTATGACTAAAGAAAAATACTATAAGAAGCCAACATATGACACTCTGAGAAACAGTTTATATGATATGAAAAAACACTGTGTTGATAATAATGTGAAGAGTATTTCTATGCCAAAGATAGGTTGTGGCTTAGATAAGCTAAAGTGGGATAAAGTGTCAGCTATTTTGGAAGAAGTATTTGGTGACACTGATATTGCTATTACAGTGTATTATCTTTAGAATAGACCTATTGATCAATATGGTTAAGGACAATCATATGGCGATGTAAGAAAAGTAAAGTGTTTAATTTTTCTCACCATTCTGCCTTTTGATTTTTAAAAGAAATCTTGCCAGGAAACATAAAATACATCAAATATTTATTTACATGCATTTTCAGAACACAAGGCCAATAACCATAAAATTCTTCATTTAATTATCCCTATCATGTAAAAATAGTCAAGGGGGGAGTCAGATGTTTAATTTACGTGCTCAAAACTAAAGACCAAAATCTACAGATACGAGTCCCTAAGCTTATCTGAACAACCAAAACTATTCAAAAGGCTTATGTAAGGTGTTTGGTGTTTACATATTTTGCACTACAGATTTTGCACACTGCCCCAAGAAAAATGTTGTGGACAGGGAACAATTTTGCAAATCTAATACTTGATCATTAAAAAGTTCAGGTTATTGTTGAAGAGACTTTTCCTATATTTGATTTAACCAACCTAACAATTCTGGCTGAGAAACTGATTTAACTTTTTAGTAGCACACAGAAAATCTGACAGTCAGCTGCACTTCTGTAATTATATAGATTACAGAATGAATAGTGACAAATATTATCAATAATTATCTGTTCATCATCTGTTATATCAACTATCTAGAAAATTACATGAGTCATATCTATTTTAGTATTCTTAATACCTGCTTGACTAATTAGCAGTGCTGAATGACCAGCATGTTTTACCAGTATAATGAATTCATATTATGGACATATTGAATATAATAGACAGTTTGGACACCCTGTGATATTGGTAATAGCAGTCTGGAAGTAACAACAGCCTTAACTTTCACGATACATTATTGTGTACCTATGGTTTTCCTTGCTTGGAAAGGTACTAAAAAATGAAGAGATTGCAAACAGGTTTTTGGAACCGTGTATATGGATTGGAACAATAAGCATTGATTTGCACCATTCCAGTTTTCAGTCAGATTCTTGTAATTTCACTAAACTATATATCGAGGGCTTAAAGCTACAATTAGTTATGTCCAAAATTTGCATTTTTAGAAAAATGCATTTCAAATTTTAATACTTTATGTAAAATACAGTTATGAACATTTCAAAACCGTCTTTGATTATTCTGTAAGTCCTGTTTTTACAAATGTGTTAATCCTTAAAAATCATGTTTAACATCACTGTGTTGTGTGTATTTTGCATGTGAAGGACATAACATTTTGTGGAACGGTCATTATGTACACAAAATGGACATAACTATTTAAATTATAACACAAATATTTTAATTATTGAACTATATAATAACAACATAACTTTAGATCCATTATTAATTACTGGATATGGATTAACACAAAATAGCCAAGAATTTTTGTCATTCAATATCATAACAAGTGAACTAAAATTAACAGAACATTTGAATATGCGACCGGTACTTTCTGGCTAATTTATTCAGTATCGTTACCAGATCCACTTTCATCATCATCTTCACCAGAATCTGTTTGAGCAGGTTCAGGTACAGAATCTTTGGCCTGGTTGCTAGTTGGTAGTGATTTATACCACAAGTGTAATTCATTTGGAATGACTCCCTGGGTGCATAGTTTTACTAAATCATTCTTTTTTGCCTTACAAATTGGAATTAAACTTTTAAAAGCCTTCTGTAAAACTAAAATTGGAGGCCGGCCACGATTGAAGATATTAATACATCTGTACTGATCTGTATATCTATAACGATATTGAATAATACCAGGTAGGTCTTTCTGGTATCTCAAACATTTGATCAACAACCAATTAACGATGTTCCCATCTTGGTCTCTCTTCCTGTTCTTCATAATGCTACGGGCCAACATCTGGAAATCAAGAAAATCATCATTGTGTAGATTATTCACTTCATACGGCCTGTGGGGAATTTGAAAGACCAGCAGTAGTATTTTCTCTTAAACAATCATCTGTAAAACTGTAAGGACAGTCAGTGGATTCTAAAATCTCCATCAAAGTATTGTTTGAAATTACTTGGTTTGTTTCTGGCAAAACTTCCATATCACTTTCAGATTCTTCTGGACTCTCAAGTATCGTACTTGCAGAATCGACACGCAATCCTAAAATAGAATGATTTGCGAGATTTAGTACAAGACTAATTCATCGTAAGGTGTTTAAATTGATATAAAATTTGATTTTTTAAAGAGTTATGACACACGATGCTATTTATGCCATAAATGTTTATGTCTATTAACATTCTAAAACAATGAAAAGTTGAATGAAAACTTATGTGATCTGAATAGATGTAAATGAAAGATGATAACATGAGTATTCAACGAGATACTTACTCTTTTTGGATGACATGTCAAGGCTTTTCAGTTTTCTTAAAGCGGAAACAATGCTAACAACTGTCTAAAAATTAATGTAAACAAACGCAGTGTTTTTTGGACATAACGTTTTGTAGTTAAAAACATGGTCAGTTTAAATTGAATTAAAGTTTTCGCAAGAATCGATTATGTCCATATAATCAATTGTATCTGAAAATTAAATTGGACTTTTGGACATACTATTTTTGGTGATGGTTAAATATAGTTTGATTTATCAAGATAATAATACAAGTTTGTGGCAGAAGAAAAATATGGATCTGATAATGTATGTGGTGTGAATATCTCATTTTCAGAAATTTTGGACATAACAACTTGTTGCTTTAAACCCTCGATATTATGGTCAATTGTGCTTTAGACATTCGAAAGTTAGATGATTTATGGATTTAACCTAACGAACACACTGTGGAGAACCAAGTACTAAGTACTGTTACAGGACTCACAATGTGATATTTTCAATTACCATCAATGGAGCAAGACAATACATAGTGTAGTGCAATATGAAAGATTTTTCATAATGTTATAGTATGAGAGAATGTGACTTTAATGTTAATGAATGATTTATTTTTACTAATCTTCTAATTTGTTCTCACTTTCTATTTTCTTTCTTACTCTTCTTATTTTTTCTTGAGTTTAATTCTATAAACTTTGTTCAGTGATCTATCATCACCTTGTAGTTACATTTATTTTGGGATATTGGGATACCTGGATACAGAGTCATTAGTTACCTAGCTTTTGTATAGGCAAGTCAGTTTGTTGTGTCTGATTCATATGGTAATCTGGATTCTATTGGATATAGTTTAGAGGCATGTTAAAGTGTTTTATAAGTATTAGTTTAAGTATACAATTAAAGAATATTATTAGCAAGTTTTCATAAAGTAACCATATTTTTTTTACATTTATAGAAGTCAATTACATTAGTGTTTTAATTTTAGTTATTTGAATTAATGTCCTGTTTCAGGAATAAGTTGTGTGGTAAATAATAAGTTACATAGTTATATTCATCTTTAAACCCCACTTCGGGTAAGAGTTATTTACAACTTATGTATTATAAATGTATATTACGTTGCATAATTATTTATTTCAAATATTAATGCATTAGGTTTTGTGTTATATATAGTTGGCAATTTCGTTTATTGTAAAACTAAAGATTTGTATTTTATTTGTATGTTATATTTTATAATTGTATTTAATTGTTATATTTGTGTATTGCAGGGTTTTTGATTTCTGTTTCACACCTATATTAAAACCATAAAAGAACCCTGTTTGGTTATTTCAATTACCCCAGGCCACCCTATAACAATAACAGAATTAAGATTGTGATTATGGTAACTTAAAATGTGCATACAGGCATACAGAACCATAAAGTGAATATGGATTTCATATAACAATTACAATGTGCAGTAACTATCAAACAAATTAACAGATTAACCAATTAACAATACCGGTATCTCAATCAAGTACCAAGTTGATTAAGAGATGTGTATCATAGTGTATATATGTTTATTCCCTTAATTGAGTCTCAAATGACATTTCACATCCTACCTTGTATTTAAGAACTGTAATTATCATGAGCCTTTAGATTACACCTGATGAAGGTCAGTTCATGACCGAAATTGCAAGTACCCTCAGTACCCTTTTGGATAGATTGGGATTACCACCTTGTATTACAAGGTGGATCTCAATCTTTTACAAAAACCTAAGGGTGTTTTGCGAAGTACGGGGAGCCCTTACCAATTGCTTCACCCTCGAAAGAGGATTGAAGCAAGGATGCCCCTTATCCATGGCTCTCTATGCCTTGGCAATTCACCCTCTGGCTCTTTATATTTCCAACAATCGAGTAATAGTAGGCGTTGATAGAACAAACTATCATCGGCAGGTAAAAACATTCCAACATGCTGACGATTTGACCGTTGTTGTTTCTGACCCCGGCTCCTTCTCCCACCTTGAACAGGAGCTAACCAACTTCGAGAGGGCGTCGGGATCAAGGATCAACAAAACTAAAACGGAAATCTATGCGACGGGGGCGATGACTGCCCACATACCAGATGCGGATAAAATGTACTTAAAACCACTCATAAAAATTTTAGGGATCTATTTTGGAACAGGAAACCACGATTCCAACTGGAATCCTATATTGAACAAAACAAGAAATACTATCAAAAAATGGCAAAACATCACTGAAGTTCAGAGATAAAATCCGTATCCTGAACACGTACATTTTATCACAAGTCTGGTATGTCGGCAGAATAGTCAAACCCGACAAACGCATAATAAAGGAGTTGAAACACCCTTTATCTTCCGTTGGAGGAAGGAGGACTAGGAGTATGTAACATCGATCTCAGTCCTTCGACCTCCAGATGGTAAAGTGGTCCATAGGGGGCGACGGATATCCCTGGAAATCCCTGTTCTTCTATTGGATGGGTATCACTCTCAGAGAGTTCAACACTGGCAGAAAATATCTCGTAACAACGTTTCGGCCAACACCGAAAATTGCAACAATAGCCGCAAACTATAAGAAACTTAAAATTGATTGGCAGCAGAATATCACTTCTAAACATCTCTATACTGAACTTTTAAAAACAACAACTCATATTATTACAGTTCAGCGGCAAAATCAACATATCAAGTTTTCTTGTGTGTTCCAGAACCTTTGTGATATTTGTATGTGTTATAATGTGATACTATATATTTCAAATTTCTATTTATACATACCTATATATTTATTGTACACTTTTACCAAATTTTTGTTGTAGTGTCTGATCATAGCTCTGTCCTCCTGGGACTATGGCGACACTATACCGTACTTGTTCCCTGAAAAAAAAAAGATTTAAAATAATTAGAATTAGACAAGTATGACCAATTAGGGTACACGATGATGATCTGCTTACATATGCCTTTATTCTATTAATATATTTTTATTTCTTTTGTAAAGGTGTATGTAAGCGGCTGGCATCACTATCACATATGTTTAAGCATAGGATGCCCGCCCTACACTAGATCTGAGTGTGGGCGGGAATGTTATTCTATTTGTTGTAAGTTTTTCGTTTTTTCATATTTTTGTTACGCCACAATTTACCCCTTCCTTCCAAATCATGAACATACATATTGTTATTATTCTTGTTACCAATTATCATGAGCAACTTATGGCAACTTTTATTCTCACCCCAACCATTGGCAGGAAAATTTTTACCACTCTCGTCTGCATAATCCACGTTCGTACAACCCACGTCCCTATAATAACCCCTATGCTTGGCAAGAGCAGATCCCTCGTCATAAACCCTACTACCCTAACAACAGAGGCCAATATCACAGGATGGAAAGACGACCGCATCATGGACAGAGCAATAGACATAGCAATAGACAGAACAATAGATCACATTTTAATCAGCACAGAAACAGACAGAGCCAAAATTTCCGTAGAAACCACCAACAGAACCACAATAGAATCAACAATCTGGACTATCAGAAACATCTGCCGCTTCGATCAGAATGTTCTACCAACTTCTGCAATGCTTTCACCATATCATTGCGGTATCAAAACAATTGGATGGTTCTTTAAGTCTTGGCCTTTCGAAAAAGGTCTCTCATCTGAATGAGTTCATTCAACCTGCTCTAAAAAATCCCATCATCTCTTTGGCGATTGAAAAAATTAATCAAACTTGGGCAACAAGTATTCTTTCGGCTCTTAAAAATCATTATAATTCCATGGTAAAAACTAAATTAGACTTGATCAAATCACACTCTTTTACGGACATACAAATTGAGTCTTTTTCGACTGAAGCTTTAAATTGGGCTAGGAAAGTTTATAAATCTCGTTTACAACAAACTGTAGTCGAACAGTTCAAATCACTTTTGGCAGATATTAAAAATACGGCTTCAGAAGCACTTGAGGATATGGATGTAGGCAATGTAGAGTTGGTAGAAGTATCTCTTCCTCCAACTACCAAAAACAGATTTAGTTTCATGCCACAATCCACTGGGAAACCAAAACGGAACAGATCATATTCCCCAACAAGTTTTCCATCCTCTTTTGAAACTCCTTCAAAACGAAAACATCTCTCAAGCCGAAGATCTTCTCTACCAAATTCACCTAAAGACCAACCTACTAGTTTGCTTTCCACTTCAAATATAATGAACATAAATACACTATCTACTTCATCATCACCTCACAGATCTCTCACGATTGCACCGTCTTCTTCAGCATCTTCTTCATCATAACCTCGTTAGGTCTCTTAAGATTGCACCGTCTTCTTCTGCAGCATCGTCTACATCATCCTCTTCAGCATCACCTCGCAGGTCTCTTACTTTTGATAAGACACTCACCCCATCTTCTTCATCATCAACTTCTTCTGTCACCAACCAGCCAGTATCATCTAGACCTTCTACTAAACCACACGTTCATACCCGACAGAGTGATAAATCCAAATTCAATCTATACCAAAACCAACCAAACCTATTCTCATCATTGGATCGTCAAATTTAGGCCGTATCCCAGAAGGCACCTCAGAAACCCAAATAGAGAGCTTTCCAGGCGCAAGAATCTGTCATTTGAAGTCTATCATTACTAAAGCAGAAGCCAGTCAAGTACCAAATAAAGTAATAGTACATGTAGGTTTAAATGATAAACAAGAAGATGGTAATTTCATCCACATCCAAATGTTGGAACTGCTGTCAATTGTCCGAAACAAGTTTCCAAAAGCCTCCCTATATGTCACACCGATACCAGTTTCTTCATCTTTAAAACGAGCATGTCCTGGAGCCTTCAAGAACCTATCAAAATTCAATGAACTTATCACAGCTAAACCACCAACCAATACCACTACCATTCCAGAATACTCCGGATTCATTAAAGTTCAAAACGACAATATTCATTGGACAGAGATGACAGCCAAGAATGTATTTTCTCACTGGATGGCGGGGGGTGGACCGAAACAGTAGTGAATCTGGGCTCAAGATCATTATCTGTAATGGAAGAAAGTCTATTGGACAAAGGCCTTAAATTTATACCCACGGCAGTGCCTTCATCCATTGACAAAATTTTAGATGCCACTTGCAAATTCGAACGATTGATAAAACTGGCCTATTTTTACAGAAAAACCCTTGGTAGAGGAACCCGGAAGAAGTTTGTGGAAAAAGCTGAGTGGACTCCACCAGATGCCCTAATACATACCGATATTTTAGAAATTTGCGATAACATGCGATTTGAAACTTCTCTCTTACCATAGATTACATTAAAGAAGTTCAAAATCAATTAAACAAACGCGAACATTACCAAATTTTAGATGCTCCGATTTTTAAAGAAACCGGCAGTGTGATTAATGACATTTTAAAAAAATTAGTGAATGACAAAATTATTTCGACTATACGACTATCTTTCGGCAAGTTCTACGGCACATCAACGGCATATTTATACCCTCCCGAAGATCCATAAGAACCCGGAAACAGAATGGTTTTTACCGAACACTATACCTAAGGGTGGACCAATCATTTCAGACTTCTCCAGCGAATCTTATCGAGTCTCATAATACATTGACCATTTTTTGTTACCTTTAGCGTGCCAACATCCATCATATCTAAAAGACACATCCGATTTTGTTGAAAAAATAAAGAGTTTAGAAAATGCCTTCTTCATATCAATGGACGTTAGTAGCATGTATACCAATATTGACAACGAAGCCGGTTTGAACGCTGTAAACAAAATGCTTTGAGAGAGCTCCTGACCCAAAACGGCCCGATTCTGAAATTCTTAAATTACTCGAAATTTGTTTAAAACGGAATGATTTTTATTTTAACGGTAAGGTTTATCTTCAGACTTCAGGAACAGCAATGGGTAAGAGATTTGCCCCAAGCTATGCCAATATATTCATGGCTGAATGGGAACGCGAAATTGATTTGATCTCTCCTTTCAAACCACTTTTCTACGGACGTTTTTTGGATGACATATTTTTAATTTGGCAACATACTATTCAGGAATTCTGGCAATACTTCGAAATCTAAATAACCATCACCCATCAACCAAATTAACAGCAAATATAAGTGATTACAGCATGGACTTTCTCGACACAACAGTATTCAAAGGACCGGATTTTAATGAAACTAGGAAGGCTGATATTAAAGTATTTTTCAAACCCAGTGATACCCACCAACTTTTATTGAAAAGCTCTTTTCATCCTAAACATACATTTTCAGGCATAATAAAATCTCAAGTTTTACGGTTCCGTAGAATTTACACCAGAATAGAGGATTTTGATGATGCGTGTTAATTAGTCTTTAAGAAATTGCGAGAGCGGGGATATTCAAAACGATATCTCCGCAGCATTAAAAGCAAAACTCTTTCAGGAATTGAGAATCGGAACACAATCCTCGTTCCGGTAAACTCTAATCAATCTTTCGGATCACGGCCGTGCAGATCTACAAGATGTAGAACCTGCGAACATATTTTAACAACCAATTCTTTCTCTAATAAGCATAAAGGTGAGTTTACCGAACACGCGGTATGCGTATCGCGGGACGCGGCAACGGAATGCGGTATAGAGATTTTTTCGCTCCAAGCCATTTTCCTTAATCCGTTTACCGGACCGCGTTACGCGGTATGCGAGTCGGTCGCGGCACGCGGTAAAACCGATCGGTCGGAGTAGCGATCTTTCCGCGCAGTATAATATACCGTGGCGGTTTAAGTCCACGTCTAGCAATTATCTGAGCTTTGTTTTATAGTTCCCATGCATTCCTGCGTGTGAAGTTGCGCCCATAAGTCAAAATGCCCAGAGGAAAACAACTTCCGGACGATGTAATCGAACGCTTGGTCGGACTCATCAGGGAACGTCCTTTCATCTACGATGCCAAGGATGACAGTCATATGGATGCACAGAAGATGAGTAATGCCTGGGAGAGCATAGCAAAAACGTTGAAAGTGGAAGGACTAGATCGTGAGCTTCATTTTTAAGTTTGGAGCCGGTCGTGGCCGCGTAGCGCACGTCTTCAGCTGTTCCGACATACTAGGCTCGGGCTCAAATCAAGCCTCAGTCAGAGAATTGTAATGATTCTATCGCTCACACTGTTAATGGGCCTCGGTGGCTCAGTGATTGTAGGCCTACATCTGCAACAAAGCAGTGATACATTCGCTGGAAATCTCTTGCCTTTCACCATTGTGATGTACTGGTTATAAACACCAATCAAACAAACAATTCGTCTAGAACGTCTCTTCCTTGCTATCACATATAGGCCCCAACGGCGATGATTACATCCCGCTGGATTCGGTTGCATCGTGTTAGAGAGGGAACGGACCAGATAGGCGCCATGCTTATGAAACTAGAAGTGATACCGCCACGTTAACGCCTTCCGATAAATAGAAGTGCGGTATATTTACCGCATTTCGCATTCCGTTGCCGCGTCCCGCAATACGCATACCGCGTGTTCGGTAAACGCAGTTTAACGGTAAACAATTCCCTATTAACGGTGAGCTTTCTTGTACCAGCACAAATATCATTTACCTAATTTCATGCGACAAATGTCATTTACAATACGTAGGCGAAACTAAAAACTCTTTGAGAGAAAGAATTAACGGCCATCGTTTCGACATCTCCCATGATCTGGATAAACCTATTGGGAACCATTTCAACTCTCCCAACCATTCCCTCGCAGATATGAAGGTGGCGCCCATTGAAAAGGTCATCGCAGAAGAAGACACCAACCCTAAAAGTTCAAGACTATACAGGGAGAGCTTTTGGATGAATCAACTAAAAACTGTTTCACCCTGTGGACTAAATATACAGTTTGATTCTCAAATAATCCAATTTGTTGCTCCATTCAATAACATTTCTTTCCAAGCATCCCGAATTATCAAAAGATACTACACAGAGTTACAAAATAAATTTCCCACTATTTTTTTACAAAAGATAGCTTGCGTTGCAAGGTAACATACGCCCACTGGCAGCTGTCAGAAATAATAAAACAGTCTTTAGTGACTAAAGTACGAATTTTCTCATATTGAAGAAATTATTTATGCTGAATAATTCCACAAATTTTTTTAAAATCAATATCAATAACCCAAATACAACAAACAATTAAATCACACAGCTCTAATCAAGGGCAAAAAACAACTTTTGACGCGTGTTTACAAAGTCAAGGGCAATAACTCAAAAAATGTTCATAAAAAATATCTCTTGTCTGAGATCTTATCAATTCCAATGATCACACCAAGTTTTATCACAATCGGTTGAAAACTGTAGCTTCTATTGTGCTCACAAACAAATTTTGACGCGTTTTTCGTAAGTTAATGGCATTAACTCAAAAACATTTCATCGAAAATGCTTCAAGTTAGAACTTGTCCGAAATCTTATCAATTTCAATGATCACAACAAGTTTCATCAGAATCGGTTGAAAAGTGTAGCGTCAATCCTGCTCACAAACTATTTTTAACAAATTTCGACGCATTTTAGCAAAGTCAAGGGCAATAACTCAAAAACCGTTCATCGAAAATGCGGCAAGTTAGAACTTGTCCGAGATCTTATCAATTCCAATGATCACACCAAGTTTCATCAGAATCGGTTGAAAACTGTAGCGTCAATCCTGCTCACAAACTATTTTTAACAAATTTCAAGGGCAATATCTCAAAAACCGTTCATCGAAAATATGTCAAATTCGAACTTGACCGAGATCTTATCAATCTAAAGCAACACACCAAGTTTTATCAAAATCAGATAAAAACTGTAGTTTCTATAGTGCTCACAAGAAATGTTGACGGACGGACCGACGGACAGGGGCGACGACAATATACGACCACATATTCATGTGGGCGTATAAAAATTAGTCATAGCTTATTCGAAAAATATAAATCTACAGGATATAGTTGTTCGTGGTCGACTTGACCCCACCGATGATGTAGAGTGATCTAACAGAATTAAATATTCTCATTTTCATTGTCTTTGTAACTTTATAGTATATAATAGTCTAAAACAATTTACTTTCTATACCAGCAGCCATTAATCGCTTTTCTTCATTATGCCAGAAAATTTGAAGCAGAGTTTTTATGATTCTGTATTTTCCACAGACAATTGTCCCAATAATGTTATTTCCGTAAATGTAGATTATAGGTATTATGAATTTCTTTATTAGGTCCAAGAAGATTTATAGGATAACCGTTATGATCTTCTTTGATTTAGTTCATTGCATATTAGCATCACAATTATTGTAAACATAACTTTAACCCTGTGCCAGTGCCTTATATTGAATAGTAACTGGTTACTCTTCAATCACCCTAATCACTAAAACTAATGATGATATGAAGTTACCATCTTAAAAGCTGCTAATAATCTCTAAGGGCCCCTTTAATGACGTGATAAATGCTTTGTTTAGGTGGAATTACAAGAACTACAAATGTCGTACTGAAAATAATGTGAATGGTGGAAATCAATGCTATCAGTGTCCCAACACATAAAGAGAAAATTTGTTCACAATCTCTGTAACTTCTCACCTTTTCCCTGATAACATGTTTAGGAAACAGACTACTACAGTAAAAGAATATCAATTCTGTTCAGTTTATTGTACATCTTTTAAAAATCAACCTACATATGAAGTATTCAGACCTGGTTGGTATGATAAGACTACATCTTGATGGTAAATGAAATGAAATGAATGGAGTTTTACGTCCTACTTTTCTGTACATCTTGATGGTGCTTGATTGATAAGTTCTGAACAGGTTCCAATTCACTAACCAAGCAGCCCCAATGTAATAACAAAGAGGTTATTATGAAATTAGCCTGTCCCACACAGTTACTATGACAGCAAAATGCTCATATTCTCTTGAAAGGTATAAATAACAACACAATTATTACAGTGATAATTAAAATGATATTTATGAGTTTGAATACAACAAAATGTCCTGTCCTGACATGACCTGATCTCTTAACCATTTACAAAGACAATACATTCCTTAATTATTCTATAAAAGGCTATTTTGAACACAATTACAAATCTCTGAACAGTGTTTTCTTCAACCAATGTCACTATCATATAGGGAAAATTCTTCTTTCCGTTCTACAAATAATATGTTCATGATTTTGAGTTAATGATTAATAATGAAATGCCACAAAAATGATTGCTTTATCCATGCTTGATTCCTTCCAAATAATCCAAATTCAATTTGGTTTATGTAACACACTTTGCAAATATCAGTAGATTGAAATAAGATTGTATTTTAAAATATCTTTCGTCCATATGTACACAAAATTACTGAGAAAGTATAAAGTTTATGATGCTGCCGCTTCCTGAACTTGTTGAATTAAAGTGATGTTATCTCCCTTTAACATGATTCGCCCTGAAAAAGATAGTTACAAGTAAATGAAAGAGAATAAAACAGTAATATAAAATGTGATAATTTACCGATAAAGGTCACAAGTGGTAGTTATTTTAGATAGATACAATATTTTTCTAATCAATTCCATCTGAATGCCATAATTTTCAGCATGATTTCCTACAGTTAACTTTCCTTCTCACTAGTTTTCATTTGAAAAATATTTATCATATCATCTTTCCTAAAGCATCTAGCATTATTGGACAAGCCAATTTCCTGTTTGAAAGCCAATAAGGACGGCTCCATGCACTGAACTTATCTGACATAAACCATATTCAAAATGCAGTGAGGTAATGAAAATCTACTAGGTAGACAAACTCAACCAAAGGTTATCTATCAAAAAAACCAACAAAGTTTAGCCCACCTAAGGTTTTTCTGTTGCCAGTTTTCATATGAACTTCCTCACCATCATCTAAAACTAGGTTCATGTATTCATCAAATCCCTACAAGTACCAGAAAAAAAAGAATTAACATAGTCATAACTCCTAAACAAAATGTATGTGGTTCTTTTAATTCCAAATAATTCCATTGCAATTGTGAATAATTATCAAATACAATCTGGAATTACAGGAACCACAGAGGGAAAAATAACCAACAGGATAACTATAGACTTAATGCAAACTCTAGAACCTCTTGTGATCCCTTTCACATATGAAAGTTTCACATTTACCTAACTGTATTAAAATCAGTGATACTTAACTTATTACATGTATATACAGCTTTATTGTTTTATGAGAATTTTGTACAATAAAAAATAAGACATACCACAATACAACCCTCTATTCTCATATTAACTTGTTCATATAACCATACTTGAATCCTAGATCTCTACAATTGAAAAGAAATGACATAAGTTAATTTTGACAGCCAAATGATGGTTTGTATTATGTTGATATTTAGCTTTTAGTTTTTCAAGATTAATCATTCTTGTGCGAACTAATGCAAGGTTTTCTACTGTTGAATAAGCCTACTGGTTGAACATTTCAAACTGAAAAAGGTCAAATATTTGGTTGAATTCAATTGAATTAATAGAAAACTTACATTTTGAAGATATCTGAAAATAAGATTCTTATAAAGTTAAGGAAATAAATTAACCATGGCATAAGCATAAGCTTAAGCTTATTACTATTTTCATAAACAATCTGGTATCAAATATGCAATTTAGTTACTTAAGGTAAGGTAGGGTAAGCCATATGTTGAAATATGCTGCCTTGAGCCGAGTTTTAGGTGGAGCTTTAATTACCAAAGATTTTCACCTGATGCTATTCGACAAGCCATGAAACTACCTATATAAAGAAGTTTTTCTTTTCACTGACCAGTTGATTGAACACTATGCATGGCTACTAAAATTTGGCCCAAATAATTGTCTGGCTTATCTAGGAAATACAGCAGTACCGAAGTCAGAAACGTAGGGAGAGAGTGCAGAACAAGAGCAAGAGATATGGCCGAGGCTAAAAATTTAATTTTAAGTAAGTAAAATTCCAACTCAAAAGAGAGAATTGGTAAATTTTCATTAAATCAACACAAAAAAAACATTTAAAAGGATACGATAGGTTGCACCATAACCTTCTGTACTTTTTGACCCCCTTTATATGCCATTTTGAACTATTCTTTTTGCAGTTTCTATGATATTCCTTCTTTGTTATTATTTCGTTGCTTTCACGTTTTTCTCACGCGCCGGAAAATGGCGCGGTTCATTAAAATTTGGCTATTTAGTACTAAAATACGTATGGAACGAAACTATCTTGATTTTATTATCTCGTGTATATCCATGTTTTATAAACTAATTTTATGATATAAACAGACAATTTTAACTAATTAAGTTTCTTAAATTCAATGATTTTATTTATAAAGAAAAATCAGCGAAACATTTTTCGTTTTGTGATGTAATAAATCCAATGCATAGTCTTGGACGTATTAGTCACGGTGATTTGCGATCATCCAGCGCAAATATTTGTCTGTAAACAAAAACAAAATAACTCTTTTATTTTACATGAATAAATAATCACAATTAGCATAATATAGCAAAAGGTACTGTATATTCATGATCGGGTACTGTCCATACAATGGCAGTTGTTTGGTTACGCTAAATATCAGCAGATTGCAACTTATTTTACAAAAACAACTTCAGTTCTTCTCTGAATTTTTTTTAGGTGTCTGTGGTTTCACAACCCCGCCCAAGTTATTGCTTGAACGATGCAAAAAGGAAAAAAAACATATATTACCTAAATATAACTATTTATACTGAGTATAATGCCTCTACAATTTTTTTTTCTTGGGGACAGGGTATTCTTACACAGACATTTCATTAACTTCAGCTCTATATGCTTATGATACACATTCAACTCCCAAAGAATCAGTCTGAGGGTCTTTTAGTTTGTAGAGGAGTAATCTGATTTTGAAGACAAGTTAACTGTTGAGGAGTGACATGTAGATGCTGACTGCCCTGAATACCATCAGAACAGCAGAGATTGGCAAAAGGGCTTCACTTGTCCATATTGGTAAATTGAATAATTAGACATCTGCATTCTGTTCAGGCTGAATGATTTATTTAAAGTTATACTACGTCTTAGAATGAACATAAATTTAAGTTTTCGAGAATGGTCAATATGGGTATATATTCATCAGTATATGACCTGGTGTCATAAAGTTAAAACAGAATCCCTGTAAAATCTGGAAAATTGGAAAATTCATAAAACTAAGTATTTATTGAAAAACGTTTAATCTTAATATTAAGCGCTTTTCAATAGTTAATTGCATATTTAAGGACAATTATTAAGTTTTTTTGATCTATCAGATTATATAAGGATGTTTTTTATGACACCAGGTATATCTACAGATGAATATATGCTGTTATTGGCCATGTTTAAAATCCTTAAATTTATGTTCATTCTAAGAAATAGTATTCTTTTAATGTTGTTGAAGTTGAATTGTTTCTCAATTTGGTATTATTTTTCATTACACTACAGTGGATCTAATAGACAGTTTCAAGTGATAAAAGAATTCGATGGATTTTGTTCTTCATGGCAATCCTACTCCAAGAGTTGATCAACGTCAATTGTTGGGTAGCGCTAGATCCAGACCAAACAGTGCTCAACCAGTAACCAGAAGAAACCCTATTACGGTATGGCATTTACATGTGGTCTCTTCCAGCAGTTCCAGCCTGTCTTGTATAGTTTAATGAAATGTTAATTTTTTTGACACATTAAAAACCCATCTCATAGATCTACTCTTTTAGAAATTTTTGAAAAAAATTCAGTTTAATCTTTTAGATTATAAAAGCCCATAGATAATTGAAAATATGCCAAGTAAGTCTGTGCGTACCACCACTTTATGTCAGCTAAATAAGAAATTGAAAGGTTGTGTTATGTTTATGATTAAATATGTAGGCCTATAATCTTTTATAAGGGTGAAGAAATTCAAGATGTAATAACAACTCCTAGAATTCAACAACCAACAACAAATCAAAAACATTATCAACAACTAACTGCTCAAAAACAGTATAGTAAACCAAAAGGGTGTGTAAGAAGGAATTATTTTTTATATTAGTAAATATATAAATTTTCATTTGTGATGATTATTTTCTACTCAAAGGCATTATAGCATTAATAATTAATATGCATTATAGGCATCAAAGGCATTATGCTTGTTTTGAACTCCAGATTCGTGAGCAAGTGTCCAATTCACTCAGACATTGTGGCTCTCAATCAACATTAATTCAACAAGTTCTGCATAATAATAAACCCTTCAACTGCTATATGTATTTGAAAATCTAGTCATAAATTGTATTTTCAGAGTTCCAGGGTTAGATCTGAAGTATTTAAGGGAAGAGAATGAGAAGAAAGTACCAGTGGATATATATGATTATTGTTTAGATACCCCAGATACAGCTTCTACTGCTAGGTAATAATACAACTATTCTAATTTTGAGAGTTAGAGGTTTTCTTGCTATCCTGAAGGTCAAGGAAACTGGGAATTGAAAACACTTTCATCAATGAAAATACTTTTGAATCGTATTTTAATTTTTTTTTGTATTACAGTTGGGGTAGTGCCAGACCTGTTCAACACAACCATAGACAGCCAGTGGTAAGCGTGCTTTCAATTTTATAATATTCTGTGATTTCTTTGTACAAAGTTATGTTTTATTCTAAATATAATAAGTCATCTTTCCTCATTATTCCTGTTGGCCCAGCTTTAAATTGGTACAGATAATTTGAGAATTCAAGAGGTTTGGCAGAGGATACAGGGTTCTTGTGAACCTTAGTTGTAGTCTTTGTAAGAAATCGTTGTTTCTCTTTTGTATAGTGGATGATGATGATTATCTATTTTATTTCTTTTTATTTCAGAAACCAGTACATGTTGCTGTTAGACCTAATGATGTACCAGGTTTATCATTAAATAATAATGCTAGGCCACCATCAGCTAGACACAAACCTCCTCCTGCTCAAAAGGTAATGCTAGAATTCTCACTCGCCTTGACAACTTATGGCTACAAGAATAATCATGAAGGCTCTACAAATGAGAAATGTATATATTATACATGCTATATACATAAAGAGATATCTCTAATTTAATGCATGATGACATCATAGCAATTTGGAAATGACCCATTTTTCAATTTTGCATTTACCCATCTAACAATTTGGAACTGAAAAGGGCATGTGACATGAGTAAATGGCCTCATTAGTTTGTGTTCTGTTTTCAGCCTACAGCCTGGGATAGACAAGCAGTACCTGATGGTATTGAAGCTCCATCAGCAAGACATCAGCAATTATATCAACAATATACTGATGAGATGAAATTAGCCTATAAAAATAAACAGAGGTTACTAGATGAGGTAATCATTTATAATTCCATACTTCAGCAGTTGTCATGGCAACCGTAGCATATATCACACATCAAAAGTATACTTCCTTTTTTGGTTTGCTAGGGCAGTTTAGTCATGCACATTGCATGGTGTCTTTATTACCTAATCGCCAGCAGAGAAATCAGATGTAAGACTATTTTGCATTTCACATTGTGATGACGTAGTATGATTTTGTTGAATTGCACATGAACCGAATGTCCGATTTTAATTTTTTAATTGTCATCAGAAGCTGAGCTTTGAGATTTATAGATCCTGCTGTATTTCCAAGACTTTTGTTTATAATCTGTATAGGAAGTAATTACAAGACAAGTAGATGATGTGAAGAAACAGTATCCAAGACAACCACACCATGTGACAGCTGATGCTGGTGATATGTTAGCAGATGATGATACAGATATTGTTGATGTTAAATCAAAATGGACTAAAGCTAGATATACTAAAGCTCAGTTGTTGAAAAAACTTGATGCGGTGAGTTAGTATTAGATCTATAAGGTGCGACCATTTTGATAGTCGTATGTTAACTTCTTGACATAGTTTCTTGACATGGCTTCTATCTCACCCAGTCATCTAAGTTTCCATAATATATGCTACAAAACAACAAATTATGTTTTTGTTATTGCCTATTTTATGACAAAATTTAATGAGATGAAATCTTCCCTGATAGAGCATTGATAGACTTTAGCATATTTTGTAATTTATGCCTGGATTTGTTAGTTCAAAAGTTTAATGGCCCTTAAGTTCACATGTTTTTGTATTCTACAGGAAGGTATGAATGATCAGTATAAAAATCAGAAGTTAGAGGAAACAGTCATGATTGATCAGTTATCAAGGTATGTTGAATCTTGCTTAGTGCCAGATTTGATCTCTCGACAGGACACCTATCTCACTGTATAGACATTTGATAGTTATATAATATAACTTATATTTGATAAAAAAACACATGTGCTGTACCAGTATTTCCTTTGGTCATTGCATAATCTATTGTATGTAGATGTGCTACAATATGCAAGGTATGTTTCAAAAGGAAAAAATTATGAAAATTCAGCTGTTATGATTATTTATGAAAAAAGCCCAGAAATGATGTCACAGTTTTAACAAAAACCTGAGAAGTTGGATTTAATAAGAGAAGGAACTGGTATTATCTTTGCACTTGTCTTTAATCATTACAGAGCTGTAATCAGTGACCCTGAACAGAATGAAAAACTATCTAGTAGACTATATAGTGCTAGTTATAGAGGTAGAGGTAGTCATAGACATCTTCATGATTCCAAGTAAGTCTTATTTCCAGGCGATCCAACGTTTTTTTAGAGCAAAGATATTACAAAGCACAACAGGGTTCATTTCAAAACTTAAATACAACATTACAAATTTTTTATCGATGATACAACAGACTAGGTCTAGCTTACTATTTATTCTTTGCAAAATGTAGACTCTTCACATTTTATGTAAATGTGCACAAATATATTGGCTTAATTGTATATGCTTGTACAAATCTGTGCAATAATAGTGCAATTTCAAGACAAAAGATTATGTTAGAATAGGCATTTTAAATAGCCATATACCCTTGCCTTTAGGGCTGGGCGATATACCGGTATCACAATAAATACCGGTATAGGATTTTATATTGTTAATAATATTGCCTGATTAAAAACTATACGTGATATTCAAGACTGGGGTGTTTTTAGAGATATTTATTGTTTTATGTTACATTTAAAATTTCTAGATCATAAATTTCTTTCAAAAACCAGTAAAAAACAAACTTAAAAAATATCGCGATATATCAATGCTTAATATTGTGATATCAACTTGAACCAATATCACACAGTCATATTTGCTTTCCTAATGGTCGAGACAAAGCCTTATTTTCGAAATTCCACTATTGTAGAATAAGTACAAGAACTACAGCAACAGAGAATTTATTATCTAAAAGAGTTAGATTTGGTGCCAGAATATTAACAAGGTATGTCCAATGTTGTCATATTTCAATGTTGACAATATTTCTAAGATGGCATATTTTCAAGTTGTCATATTTCCTAGATGGCATATTTCAATGATTACAAATTTCCAAGATGGCATATTTCAATGTTTACAGATTTCCTAGATGGCATATTTCAATGATTACAAATTCCCTAGATGGCATATTTTAATGTTTACAAATTTCCAAGATGGCATATTTCAATGATTACAAATTTCCAAGATGGCATATTTCAATGATTACAAATTTCCAAGATGGCATATTTCAATGTTTACAAATTTCCTAGATGGCATATTTCAATGATTACAAATTCCCTAGATGGCATATTTTAATGTTTACAAATTTCCAAGATGGCATATTTCAATGTTTACAAATTTCCTAGATGGCATATTTCATTGATTACAAATTTCCTAGATGGCATATTTCAATGTTGTCATATTTCCAAGATGGCATATTTCAATGTTTACAAATTTCCTAGATGGCGTATTTCAATGATTACAAATTTCCTAGAGGGCATATTTCAATGATTACAAATTTCCTAGATGGCATATTTCAATGTTGTCATATTTCAAAGTTGCAGACAGTTCCCCTGTAAGTTAAGTAGCCCATCTAAAAACAAAATTTCCATGTTAAGCAATTGCTTTGAACTTCAGTACTTGTATTCAATTAAATTTTCTGTTTCATGACTCTTGTTACCTCTTTTCTACATAATGACATGCCTGGTGCCCAGGGTTGAATATCAGGGCTCTAAAACAAGATCTCTCATGCCAAATTTCCCTCATTGCTCACAGATCATGTCTGTCTTCCTTACTCACTAGCTAGTAATAGACAGGAATGAATGACAACTACTTATCTGGTGTTTTTCTACTAATTATTTCAGAAATGGTCATGATGCTTTAAGACAATTAACTGGATTCTTCTTCAATGTTAATAATACTCTGACTATTTATGAATTTAAACAGTTTGGGAAAAGGTATGTCTTGTTTGAAAAGCTTTTCTTGTTTCCATGGGGGGCAGAAAATCTTCATTTTCCTCTCAGCCATTCTTGGAGGAAAACCAAGAAGGAAGGGCTTGCTTAAAACAAGCTTAATGCATTCATTTTCTCACTAAATTGGTCAATTTCTCCAGCAGAAAGTAGCATTCGAAACCTCTAAAAAATTTGGCAATGGCCTAAAATGACGCACAGCATGTGTAAAATATTATTGTTGTCATAATTCAATTGATATTTCAGTGCTAAAGCTATACCATTTATCAATAGAGGTACCTATCATCATATTAAGGGACCATTAAAAGGAGAAGTCTATGCCTTAACAGATATTTATCCTGTATGTATTTCATTATTTCCTAGTATGCATAGCCAGACAGTTTAATGTTTGATCAATGGTGACTTTTTGTACTTCTCGGGCATGAAGCCAATAAGGCTCACATGGTTGATTTTCTGTTATCCTTTCCATTTTTGATTTTTTGTAATTCAATCATACCTTAACACTGGATTAAAACTAAAATAAAAGAATTATGTCCCTTGATATTTGTATTTGACAAAGTTAATTAGTATTATTACAAGTTAATTTCAATTTCAAAGCATAAAGACTTTATACATACAGTATGTACATGTATTTCATTTTCTCCTATTTGTGAAACTCTGTTTTGGGATAAAAATGGTTAAAATTGAATTTTACAAAAGAAAAAGATAGAACTGTATTCTTTGAAATTTTAAGGTTTAAACTACAAATACAAATTTCAATGGATATATCCCTCTATGTTTTCTACTTTTTCTAATCCCTGGAATATATTGTGTTATTATCAGGGAGGAGATATTCTTATATCAACAGAAGGACATCAAACCTTACCTCAATCTATAGCTAGTCAATCAGAAGTTATATTTCGTGTCACAGATCTAGATGAGAAAGAAAAGTGTAGTTTGTTGTAAGTTCTTTTTTATGTTTTATGATAGATAAACCATCCATAGAAATACATTTTACATGCTCATGTCTTTCCATATGTAAGAATATGTTTTCCTTGGTCTATCTCTGTCTGTTCACATTTCCTCCTTCTGCTGTTACATCATAGTATTTTTGTTGGTGACAAAAGTTTTTTTAATCCGACTGAGATAGTCCACTTAGGTTAAGTATTTTCAACAAACCTCTGTATCTAGCTGTGGTTCGAAGTCTTTTTAATTCCAATGCTGATGAATATTCTCACCCCTAGTGTCCTAAAAGCATGAGCTGTTGCTGTAAGATCAAGTCCTTAGTGGAAAGTAAACTATCAGAACACTGGAATTCTGGAACTGCAAATTATAAGAACTGAAACATAATACTGACGTTCACGTTAAGCAACTGTACATACACACCCGCTCATGTACAGAATACATCATAGAGTAGAGTAGAGTTGATAGTAATTGATACAATTTGTTATTTTTAGATTACATGGTATCAGACCAGGAGAAAAGGAAACAGTTTATGCTGAACTACATGTTAGAAGTAGAGAAGATCAGGAAAATAAAATTATTCTAGAAAATTTACAAGGTAAATAACAGCCTCTCTCACTACTTTGGAAAGAGATAATTGTGAGAAGAGGAGATTTGACATGAAAACAAAAAGCATGTAGAGTTTACATACTTCAGAGCATTCTGTGAGGTTACCTTACCCTTCAGGTATTTCAAAGGCCATCTGTCTCTCTTAGAGAGTCTTCCTATGCAAACATAGAGTTATGTCCTCCTGTCTCAAAATAGATCAGTTGTCTGAAGATCGCATTGAAACTCTGAGTAACTACATGATTAAGGTTATGTTTAATATTACTATATCACTGTACAATAATTGATGAATTGAGCTCTATTATAACAGTGAAAATATTTTTTAGAAACTGTTCAAATACTGATCAAAAAGAGAGGTGTGAAAACTGTAACTGGTTTAGGCAGACATTATAGACAGTTAGATAAAACTGGAACTGGTTGGTTAGATCAATATGATTTAGAAAGAGGTTTACAGAAGTTCCATATTCAGATTGATCAACAGGTTAGTTAAAGACATACAGTTTTCTAAATATTTGCTATAGCAACTGATACAGACCTGATATTAGACCCAGATTATAATGGTGGTCTAGATTATTGTCACTATATTCTATTACATTTCAGATATTAAATATTATATTTGAGATATTAAACCCAGATTAAAGTTGTGGTCTAGATTATTATCACTATATTTTATTATATTTCAGACATTAAATATTATATTTGAGATATTAGACCCAGATTATAATGGTGGTCTAGATTATTATCACTATATTTTATTATATTTCAGACATTGAATATTATATTTGAGATATCAGACCCAAATTATAGTCTAGATTATTGTAACTATATTTTATTATATTGTAGACATTGAATATTATATTTGAGATATTAAACCCAAATTGTAGTTGTGGTCTAGATTATTGTTACTATATTTTATTATATTTCAGACATTAAATATTATATTTGAGATATTAAACCCAGATTAAAGTTGTGGTCTAGATTATTATCACTATATTTTATTATATTTCAGACATTAAATATTATATTTGAGATATTAGACCCAGATTATAATGGTGGTCTAGATTATTATCACTATATTTTATTATATTTCAGACATTGAATATTATATTTGAGATATCAGACCCAAATTATAGTCTAGATTATTGTAACTATATTTTATTATATTGTAGACATTGAATATTATATTTGAGATATTAAACCCAAATTGTAGTTGTGGTCTAGATTATTGTTACTATATTTTATTATATTTCAGATATTAAATATTATATTTGAGATATCAGATCCAGATCATAATGGTTGTCTAGATTATTGTCACTATATTTTATTATATTTCAGACATTAAATATTATATTTGAGATATTAAACCCAGATTATAGTTGTGGTCTAGATTATTGTCACTATATTTTATTATATTTCAGATATTAAATATTATATTTGAGATATTAGACCCAGATTATAATGGTTGTCTAGATTATTGTCAATATATATTGTTAGATTTCAGACATTAAATATTATATTTGAGATATTAAACCCAGATTATAGTTGTGGTCTAGATTATTGTCACTATATTTTATTATATTTCAGACATTAAATATTATATTTGAGATATTAGACCCAGATTATAATGGTTGTCTAGATTATTGTCAATATATATTGTTAGATTTCAGACATTGAATATTATATTTGAGATATCAGACTGAGATTATAATGGTGGTCTAGATTATTGTCACTATATTTTATTATATTTCAGACATTAAATATTATATTTGAGATATTAAACCCAGATTATAGTTGTGGTCTAGATTATTGTCAATATATATTGTTATATTTCAGACATTAAATATTATATTTGAGATATCAGATCCAGATTATAATGGTTGTCTAGATTATTGTCAATATATATTGTTATATTTCAGACATTGAATATTATATTTGAGATATCAGATCCAGATTATAATGGTTGTCTAGATTATTGTTACTATATTTTATTATATTTCAGACATTGAATATTATATTTGAGATATCATACCCAAATTATAGTTTTGGTCTAGATTATTGTCACTATATTTTATTATATTTCAGACATTGAATATTATATTTGAGATATCATGCCCAAATTATAGTTGTGGTCTAGATTATTGTCACTATATTTTATTATATTTCAGACATTGAATATTATATTTGAGATATCATACCCATATTTTATAGTTGTGGTCTAGATTATTGTCACTATATTTTATTATATTTCAGACATTAACTATTATATTTGAGATATTAAACCTAGATTATAATGGTGGTCTAGATTATTATCACTATATTTTATTATATTTCAGACATTAAATATTATATTTGAGATATTAAACCCAGATTATAGTTGTGGTCTAGATTATTGTCACTATATTTTATTATATTTCAGACATTAAATATTATATTTGAGATATTAAACCCAGATTATAGTTGTGGTCTAGATTATTGTCACTATATTTTATTATATTTCAGACATTAAATATTATATTTGAGATATTAGACCCAGATTATAATGGTGGTCTAGATTATTGTCACTATATTTTATTATATTTCAGACATTAAATATTATATTTGAGATATTAGACCCAGATTATAATGGTGGTCTAGATTATTGTCACTATTTTTTATTATATTTCAGACATTAAATATTATATTTGAGATATTAGACCCAGATTATAACGGTTGTCTAGATTATTGTCAATATATATTGTTATATTTCAGACATTGAATATTATATTTGAGATATTAAACCCAGATTATAGTTGTGGTCTAGATTATTGTCACTATATTTTATTATATTTCAGACATTAAATATTATATTTGAGATATTAGATCCAGAATATAATGGTGGTCTAGATTATTGTCACTATATGAGATCTGTTCTTGGAGAGATGAATGAATTCAGAAAGTCTTTTGTGAGAAAGGTATGTTCCTAAACTATGCATAGTCTGGAAGCTAAGAGTTCCCTTTTGATACTTTAGCTTGTTAGGGATAGCAATGTTAAACATGGGCAATAAGTGACTGCATATCATGCTCATCAAGTCTGATTTTGAAAAAGTAACCTCCCCTTCCAAAACTTGCAGTCTTTATAAGGATTGTTTATCAGTAACACATCTCTGCAGCATAAGATGAGATCTTGTCAATGTAGATACTATGTTCTGTTTCAGGCTTTCTCTAAACTTGATTCTGGTAAGAAAGGAATGATAGAACTATGTGATATTAAGAAATTCTTTAATTTAAATGCTCCACCAGCACCACGTAAGTTAATTTATTTGTTCATTTTGAATTGTTTGTAGCAATCAGCAACAATTTGTGATTCATGAAAACCTTAACTTAACTAGGTGTTGTTAAGAATAATTTTTAGCATAAGTCTCAGTTTCTGACTGTTTGAAAATTGTTTTGAGACGGATTTAGATTATTGTACAATGAAGAAATTTATTATTTATATTAATTTTATATTTTAGATGCTGAAGACAGTAGTGCTATACACGTATTTTTAGATAATGTACGCCAATCACCCAAACAAGAACAAGTATCATTCCGAGAATTTGAAGAGTTTTATGAAGGAATCAGTGTTAGTTTGGAAAGTGATGAAGAATTCCTCAATATTTTAGGAAACACATGGAACATTTAATGCTGATTTTTATTGTGATAGATGTTTGCTTTTACCTTTTGCACACTCAATGTCAGAAGACGCAATGTCATTTACACTTATAATATTAGTATCTCAGCTCTTAAAGGTGATACAGACATGATGTTTAAATGCTATATGCTCAATAGGATGTATTCTTATAATTTTGTGGTTGGCCTATAGTTTCAAAAATCAATTTAGTTTCATTAAATGCACTTTTTCAAAGCAAATGCTAGCAAGTTTTCATTTTTATAGTCATATATTGTATTCGAGGTTGAAGGTGATTTGAGAATTACTCACATAAAAAAAGGCAGGTCTAGGCCACAAAGCTAGAACTGTATATATCTAAGTATACCGAATGAACAAACATTCCAAACTTGTCTTGAAGTGTAGACTTGAGAATAAGTTCTACTTGTCCATCTTCAGTAGGGACACAGGCTGAAAATAGGTCATATGTTTGAAGATTACATAGCGTGAAACATGATCATCTATGTTTGATAACTCTGTTGCTTTTACTGATGTTTTTTTCCTAGGTGAACTGGATAAGTTGTAGAAAATAGTAGTCCCTAGAATATTTCATAGAGTGAAATTAATTCTTTTAAACACAATGAATTTTAAAAAATAGATTTTTGAATTTGAGATTTCATATTCCATCTATTTATTGCATTCCATCCATTTATTGCATTCCATCCATATTTTGTAAGACAGAAACTTAAGGTATTGACTGTTTACAAATTTTGTTTAATTTATATAAACTATGTTTGTATGTTGTTCACTTTTGTTCTTCTATAATATTAATCTTGTTTGAATTGTTCTCAATTTGTTCTCCAATGTTTTAGATTTGTTCTTAAAGATTTGACAAATGATTTAAATATGCCAATGATTTGGATTTTCTCTACATATTTAGAATTTATCAAATGCTTTAAATTTGTTCTCGTATGTTTTGATTTTTTTCTTGATATTTTAATTGTGTTCTCAATTGTTTGAAATGTTTCCAATGATTCCACCCATTTATTGTATTCCATCCTTATGTTGCATCTACAAATCTTTGGGTCTTTTACAAACTGCATAACATTTTGATTGTTAATTGAAATTCCATCCATTTATTGTTAATATCCTTATTTTACACAAATACTTAAAAATTTTCATTTCATCCATTTGTTGTATTACATACATATTTTTCATTTATATGCCTTAATTGGTCTTTTTCTAAAATATGTGTTATAGTTCTAAAATGTGCTTTGTTTTGATCTGAAGTTTAATTTGAAATGTGTTTCATTTGTTCTGAAATTTGTTTAGATTTGATTTGAATTTGTTCCAAATTTATTAACATTTATTATGGCCTTTTGTTTTTATATTCAATAAATACATTCCAAACAAATATTCATAATCAAATTGTTGCTTATATAGTGTAATTTATAGTAAATTCTTGATATTCACCTGTGATCTCTAATTTTATTTATTTATATTTTATGTGAAAATAAATTTCAATTTTTATTCCTTTGTCTTTTGTTGTTAAAAAATGCCTATTTACTACATCACTGACCAGGTCCACTATCATCTTTATTGTACAGATGTCTGCTTGTTTTTTGTCTTATAGATGCATTAAGGGAAGTTCTGTTTTTCTCTTTGCAATGTTTGTGTCCATAATCAGATGTAAATTCCAAACTTTCAGAGATTTTATGAGAAAATGTAAGATATAGCCAAGAAATCCTATAAACACTTTTTGAAGTCATTGACATCGTCCAAGGACAACTTTCTCATGTTGGCTATGGTTGTTCTTTCAAACTTCGTTGATATCAGTTCTTTATTAGACGAGTCACAGTTATCTTTTTGTCTAGACTGGAAACATTAACGCCTTGCCTAGATTGTATAAATGACTGTAAGATTCTTGTATCCTTTTGACTGGCAAGCTATCTTTTGTAAAAAAAAAAATACAATTTCCAATGCACATTTTAGGAAATTAAGAACATTTGATGCCATTTTTTAAAAAAAGCTATCCTAACAAAGAAGCTAGTGATAACAATGTTAAATGTATGAGGGAAATTGGGTATTCGATAGGGTCACTTATCAAATGAGTTACAAATAAAAATTTGCTGAGTCCACAGGCGAGATTAAAGCCATTAACATCTTGCCTAGATTATGTTAATACGTGTCAGATTATTTTATCTCTTAACTTTCAGATTACAAGTATATTTACCTATGTGATAAACTAGTCTATAATTTCTCTCTTAATCATGTTCTATATCTATATAACCTAGTGACTGGATAATCTATAATCAAATCAATCCAGAATGAATGAACTGTCATTTTTTACTATTATTCGCGTGGAATAACAATGGATTGACTTTATTCTATTTTTAAAGACATTCAGAAGGTAACAATGAAATCATTATTGACAAAATTGGCGCATACCAATGTGTCTCTTCACGACGATATGGTAAACGACGGTTATGAGCAGACGACATTGTATTAGGCTGTCAACAAGTGAAATCGGACTAAAAACCTATATCATGATGTGATAAACATTCTGTTTAGTTTTACTGTTATTTAAGCGACATGTTCAGCCCGTTAGCTCGGGGATATGGGACATGGGCGGGAGAAATTGAGTTAAATCCAGACAGGGAAGTAACTGAAGTAAGTATTTGTTTATATTTCAAATTACTTTTTTAAAAAAATTGAAATTCCTTGATTGACATACCTTGTTAGTACTGTCATTTATCTATAAAGAGAAGATAAGTAAAATAGTTTGGGATTTGAAATAATAATTGTATGGCTCCTTGACTTTGTAAACGGAATTATAAGACAAATAGTTTGAAACTGAATATTTTGTATCTTTGAGAGTTAAATATTTAGAAATTGACTATAAATATTTAAGACAAATAGTTTGAAATTGTATGACTCTATAAAAAAACTATTCAGAAATTGTATGACTACAAATATTTAAGACAAATAGTTTGAAATTGTATGACTCTATAAAGAGAACTATTCAGAAATTGTATGACTACAAATATTTAAGACAAATAGTTTGAAATGGTATGACTCTATAAAGCTATAAGACTAATATTTTTAGAAGTATATGAATTTGTAAATCTATAAGTCATATAGCTTTTAAATGTAGGGCTCTCTAAATATTTAGAAATTGTATGACTTTAAATCTGTAAAATAAATAGTTTTAAAATTGTATGACTCTGTAAATCTATTAGAAAAATAGTTCTGTAAAATTGTATCATCAAAAACATAAAATTGTATGGCTCTCTAAATTTGTGGGTCAAATATATAGTTTGAAATTGCATGGCTCTGTAAAACTGTTTGTAAAATATTTATCGCTTTTATTATCATACGCAAACACATGCTGAGCCAGGGGGATCTATGAAGTAATATTATATAAGGTGCTATCGACATTATAGATATAAATAACAATAACCTATCCTAATCCAGATTAATCATAAAGTCACAGAAGGTAGATCAAATCATATCCTTGATCACCAGATAATCATTACAGAATAGATAATCTTAGGATGATCTCCTAATGATATCCTAGTCTTTTAAGTATCACATAATCATTTTTTCTGTCTCTGAAAGGAAATGTTTCTTATTGTTTTGTTGTGATTTTTCCCTGACTGAGGCCCATCTGTATTGTGATCATGTCCGCAAAATGTAAATCTTCATCAAGATCTACTGTGCCTAAGGTGTGCCCATGGATTCACAAGTTTGGAAACTCGAAGTGAAGGATAGAATGATTTTGTATATAATGAAGATCTTCCTCATTATGTCAGTCTACGGCATGGATTTACACGAATATTTCTCCGAGATGGCTTTTGGGTTTGTTTGTTCAAATGTGCAGAATAATCAAGCAATTTAGCAGTTTAGCAACTATTTCTGAAAAATAAATGTTTCATATCATATGTGTGTTTTGTCTTTTTTACAGCTCCAGCTACCAACCATCCCGGAGGACCAAAGTCGATCAATCCATAGACATGGCGTTACAGTATCGCCCAGAGTGTTTCGCTCTAACACAAACTTATCATTCTCTAGTCATAAGGAAGATGGAGAGCTTGAACTGCCAAAAACATATGTAACCAAAAAAGGTGCTCTACTCTTATTTACGGCACCTAACGAGGACATTGAAGGAACTCAAGAGTCCGTAAAAGTACTCCATAAAAAGAAAGTTGAAAGCCTTTTGGATCGTAGCTTGAAATTGAATACTCTTGAAAGGCTTTATTTATCAGCTTTACAATTTGGTGACCTGGTAAGTATAAACATAAGTAGGATCTGAAAATATAGTTGATTCCACACCTTTCGATCTTTTCGTATCAAAAATATACACTATCCTGGAATTCCATCAACAAAAATGAAATCCAAAGCAAAAAATTAAATGGTCAGGTGATGTGGATAGATATAACGACCTGGACAAAAAAAATCGACAAATCTTAACCTCTGAACTGCATGTTTAGGAGAAAGTCTCTTATAAAACCTACTAGTATTTCGACATGTGAAAATTTACCAAAAAAAACTTTGTACCGGTAGCTTTGTGTTGCTCTCTGACACCCTAAATAGTACCAGTTGTAACGAATGTAGTAGATTACTTATATAATCTTTTTTTCTATGCACCGATACTCTGATCATCGTTGTAAGGGCACATTGCTAGAGAACTGTTTGTTTTTTCATTTCTATATGGACAAACCTGACGCCAGATAATGCGGGTAGAGGTATTCCAGTTCTACCGATTATACATACAACATTGTATTGTTCGTTCGCAGAGACTAATGTTGCTTATTCAGATTGATAAAGACTGATCTACTAAGTTTAATTTTTGTAATTTTTCAGTCGTACTACAGAAAAGATAAATGTAGCATCACTGATCCAGAAAACCAGTGGTTTTTAAAGTTTTTACATGATTTAGACAGACTAGATATTGATGTTAGTACTAAACCTGGGGCTGATATCAATTTCTATCTTAGAGATCTAAAAACACGAGCCAGGTAAGATAACTTATAATTGCCTTCCCTTAACATTCTTAGGAAATGTAAACGTGTAAACGTTCTTCATTTACAAATAAAACAATTCTTCACGTACAAAATAAATGATCTTCATTTGTAAATAAAACAGTCTTCGTTTATAATCTAATAACGTTCTTCATATTAAGAAGATAAATTAATTCTCCATTTACTATTAAAACAATCTCCATTTGGAAATAAAAGCGTTCTTCATTTATAGATAAAACGGTCTTCATTAGAAGATTAATTAATTCTACATTTACCAATAAAACATTCTTCATTTATATATACAAGCGTTCTTCATTTATTGATAAATCGTTCTTCTACAAAAGATAATTCTACATTTACAAATAAATTATTCTTCATTTATAAATAAATAACATTCTTCGTTTAAAAATAAACATAATTTTTAATTTACCAACAAAACATTCGTCATTTACAAATTAAACATTCTTTATATATAACTAAAAACGTTCTTCTTTTATAACTAATAGCGTTCTTCTTTTATAACTAATAGCGTTCTTCTTTTATAACTAATAGCGTTCATCATTAACTAAAATCGTTCTTCATTCATAATTAATAGCCTTCATCAGTTATAACTAATAGCGTTCTTCATTTTATAACTAAAAACGTTCTTCTTTTATAACTAATAGCGTTCATCATTAACTAAAATCGTTCTTCATTCATAATTAATAGCCTTTATCAGTTATAACTAATAGCATTCTTCATTTTATAACTAAAAGCGTTCTTCATTTATAACTAAAATCGTTCTTCATTTATAATTAATAGCCTTCACCAGTTATAACTAATAGCGTTCTTCTTTTATAACTAATAGCGTTCTTCTTTTATAACTAATAGCGTTCTTCTTTTATAACTAATAGCGTTCTTCATTTATAACTAATAGCGTTCTTCTTTTATAACTAAAAACGTTCTTCATTTTATAATTAATAGTTTTCATCAGTTACAACTATATAGCGTTCTTCATTCATACCTAAAAGCGCGTATTTATAAATGGAAATAATTTCTTAATCGTTCTTCATTCATTGACAAAACGTTCATTTTTAGATAAAATAGTTGTAATCAAAACTTAAATAAAAAACGTTAAAGAAATCAAAGAAATTGAAACATACAAAATTGAAACATACAAAGTTGAAACATGTTTGATAATAAAACAGTGTAGTTTATTGCAAGCATTAAACTGTGTATTATTAATCCACTAAAAGGTTCACTGTTTATCACATATTAATAAGTAGTTGGGTAGGTCAAATATGAATTATAACTTATTGTTTATATACCGTCTTAAACAATAGATAACATTTCTTTATAGCACCCTTTATATAAGATAACATAAAAGATTATTATTTTTAAGTGACTTCGAAAACTAGCGGTGTCAGTGATCCTCAGACATATCCAACAATACTTTAAACATTTTTATAGGTTCTTTTGTTTACTTTTTCAAATAGTTGAACATTTGTATTCGTCAATTTGACTCTGATCGTCAAATAGAATTGTGTAAAGATGTCAAATTTCATATAAGAACCAGCAGCTTACGAGGTCAAGGTCATGTGTACGGAAGATGTTAATGTCATAATTGATGCAAAAAGTATTATTTGGTACATGTGGGTCGACTCAGTTCGACATGCGACTTGCATTTAGATGGCAGCTAAATTTTCAACGACTTCTAGCAGCTAACGACATCTGGAAGAATTCGGTGGCTGTATTTTGTCGTTGCGACGTGAGCGCTTCGACAACTTACTGAAAAATCACGCAGTTGCCTGCAGATGCTTATTTCTTTATTTTCTAACACAGACGAATTTGTCGTGGAGTTTTCGAAATCTGACACTATGCAAATGATTGCAGTTGCATATTGAGCTACAGATATCAAAAGGTCATATTGATTATTAGCATTGAAAATTGGAATGTTGAAAAGTTTGGAAAACCTCTTTATTATCTCTTTAATTGTTCATATAGATGATAACAGTGACAAAGAATGCTATGACGATGATAAGAATGAATACGAAGGAATTAGAATTAAAATCACGACAGCAAACTTAATTACATCACAAAGTTCCAATCAATATCGTTATCCATTCATTAAAAATCAATCAACAACTCGTTTTCTACCATCAATCAATAATCAATCAAAAGTTACTTTAGCTTCATTCATAATTATGGCAGGCTATATTTTGAAATCGAAAATGGTACGGCTCTGGCAATAGTTTCTGTCTAGTTAATGCCACATATGGAGAAATTATGACAAAATATGAATTATAAGGAGGGGAGGCATTTTAAAGGTATGGTCATTCCATCGTAACAATGGCTAAACAAGATGAGGGGGGGGGGGGGGGGGTTGGGCGTAGACTTAAGTCGGTTGGGGCCCCTCCCCCGGGATTTTTTAATAATATATATGCTATCCTGCATTTTTTCTTGGGGTAGGGGACCCCGTTAGAGCTATCCTGCATTTTTTCAGTCCCTATGGTAGTTGAGCCACTGCTTTACAAACGCTCTTTATTTTGTGACTCTGTATTTTTTATTTGACTGACGAATAGCGTATCCTGGAAATCAAAAATAAAATGTTCATCGAAAGTTTTGCAAAATATCGAATTCGGCCGAGCAAAGTGATTTGTATAAGGACATAAGTTAACTAATTATGATATAGTGTTAGCATGTACTGATATCTGTTATTTAATATAACATATAGGTAAATACTGTATTGACTAAACAGACATGATATATACAGATATTTAATAGTAAATTACCCTTCTATTCATACAGTGAATGTTATTGCGATATACCTATTTCGCACATTACCGTACATACCCTTGCAATTCGGACAGTTAATATTAGTAATAATAATTATGTATGATGCTGTAATTCTTTCATTCCTGGCTGTATAAAGTAAAAAAACTCAAGTCATGATAGTATTGAATGTCATGTACAGACCAACTAGATCAAGTAAACATATAAGTTGTAATACTTTTGAAGTTTATTTGAAGAATTACGGTAGTTTGTTTATTTGTAGCTATGGTTACAACAGAGACAAAAAAGTAAGAGGGGTTATCAATGTGTGTTAATTCATACCTTTCATTTGAAATATAATAATATATTAAATACATATTGTGTTCATATTTATATAAACCTAATAACTCGCTGTTTAATCCGTTTCATTCATTTATTCCTTCGTCTTTTTATTTCATTCATTCATTCATATTTTTTTTTATATTTCATTCAATATAACGATGAAAAAAATCTCCAGAATAATTTTTTAAGAAACTTTGCCTTTTCCATTAGCCTAATCAAGGGCAGAAACATTCGACGCAAAACCCCAATACATTTCTTTTACAGTAATTTCCGGCTGAGATCTTCTAGGATTAACAAGTTTCAAATAGTGACACAAGAATTTCCAATTGTGGACAATCAGGTTGTAAATAACACCCATCCCGACGCCCGTACCGTTGCTAAAGGAACATGAACCCCCCACCCCCACACACCCACATCAACTCGCCAGAATGACCATATAAAATGATTTCCATTAATTTCAAATTTGCTTCCATTTCAGTCAGAGAATACATGCTGGCGGTGACAGTACAACAAGAAGACAAAGATCACAAGAACTACGCAGTTTATTACACGAATTAGAAGACGTCTGGAGAAGCAAGTCGAAATCTTCATTAAAACCAGAATCGTCATCGTTATCACAGAGGTAACAATTATTCTAGACTGGCTAGACAAGACTACCCTGGATTTCGAAGAACCTACGCCGTAAAACCGTCATCAAATACAGAATTATAAATATTTTTGAAGATTTTCACAGATTGACGAATGTGGACAACCAGCTAATCCATATATTCCATTTAGAAACTGTAGAACATTAATTGAATGGGTCCACGATCCCGCGTAACTCATCGGCAAAATTATTGTAATGTATCTTCACCCTTACAAGATAATCGGACCATACCTGTCAATTCTGCAATCAAGACGTCTATAAGTCCAAAAACTGATGGAATCAAAGTAACCCAAAACCTCCCTCCTGACAAAAAGTTCTTTCATTGCACACTGCTCGATTTGTCTGCCTTTATTTAGCTATCATTTATTTCACATGAATCTGATTTTAGTCGAACGAGTCCTGCACAACGTATACTATCCAGTAAATCATTAGCTGCATCAATAAAATCTTCAACATATCTTGGTAGAGCTGATTCTTCTGGTAAGAACTTCATTCATTATCTAAGGATTTTTGTATTTGGTGGTTCAAAAGTATTTCCCCCATAATAACCAAACCAAAATTATCGATTTCCTTTTGATGAATATTTTTTATTTAACGGTCTTCTGGCTGACTCTCTTGTGGTTAGCATCTGCTAAATAAGAGCCAACAACTTGTGATGTAAAATAATGCCTTGACAATATATATTTAACCGAAGAATTTCTTATGTTTTAGCAACTGATTTTTCCAAAGATGAGTCAGGAAAGCTTTCTGGCTTGTCCCCGGTTACATTACCTGAAATACCTTCCAAGCATGGTCGTAGACGTAAAGCAAGTTGGATCAGTCCAGTAACGACAACAGAAGATGCACAAGATACCCATCCGATCGCAATCACGCGATTACCCCCGACATATAAAAGTGTATCGTCTGCTAAGTCTGATAGAAGTGGAGGCAGACGAAGTGCCGAGTCGCGATCAGGCAGCCGTTTGTCTGGTAGATCCGGCTCTCTGGATGATGCTCGTAGTAGCAGTGCTGACAGTTCAAGACTGACCGAGGAGATTGGTGAATTAAATATCGCTCATCCCCTCAAAACGTTTATTGACCATGAATTGACGGAACTGGCAGAAGACGAAGTCAGACAAGGTTTGCATGTCAAAGAAGCTATTGATTTTGAAGGAATGTCGGACAAAATTACCCAAAACCAAACTGCTTACGACAATACAGAAGACAAAGATATACTTGCTGATAAAACTGGTGCCCCTGGTGAAGACCTCACCCAAGGTATTGACTCTGTAACAAAGGCCAATAAAGATGGTGGAATAGTTTCTTCAGATGTTGATCAGCAACAGAGCATTACACCTCTAGGTAAGTGAGCCGTGATTTCTGTAGCACCTGCAAAATGTCAAAGTTAAATAAAATGACTTATTCGGCACGCGTATTTGAAGTCATGTAGGCTGATTTTATTATGAGTTTCTCCATCACGAATTTAACATAAAAGAAAACGACAAGAACGACCAAAATTGCATTGACTCAGTCCATAATCAATTCTAGGAAATGACTGATTATTAAATTGATTAATCGTTTTTACAGACTTGGCTACACAAGCGGGGAAACAGCATGATGAAAGTCCAGTCCATGACGATTCCGCTACGGTTGAATCTGGAGAAGATACTGTTAGTCAGCCGGACAGTGCTGTAGATAAAGTACAAGGTGAGTTTCAGTTATTGTCGTTACATGAAAGACAATTAGTTTATATACATCTTGTCACATTTCCACAGTCGTTTATTTTTGGTTCATAAATTCCGAACCTATGTGGACGTAGAGATTCCCGAGGCATCTTGGGCCAAAAGAGTGTACGTAGCATATGAAACATATGAATCTAACCCTGGCAGTGTTTCCTCTTCCAGAACAACGTATACCTAAACCACCACAAGATCCCAGAAGAGCGAGACTTCATAGATTGAACGCTAGGTCTAAGAAACCAGCAGGTGAGTTTAAATTTTGATTTCTAGATTCTCGATTCACCTCGATGTCAACCAAAAAGTAATGTTGATCAATTATATCTATTTGGATTGTCGACACTAGCGTATCTTCATTTTAAGGAGTTTCATGTTCCACAGCTCGTGTTCCCAAGCTCATTCCAAACTGCTCCTAACTTCTGACACCCTTATGAATCAATACCAGTTTTCTTTTAGAAATTTCAGGAAGATTCTTTAGCTATTTGAGACAACCAACAGAATCTACATTTTGTTTAATCATACATGCTGATTGTTCATTGGCAAAAGACTTCTCGGGTTCCTTTAAAGGTGTATTTTTTATAATCCAATAGTCGTTCCTTCCACGGACCAAGATATTGAACAAACTGCTGAAGTAGAAACTAAAGATCCAACTGAAGAACAGAAACCTGCAGACGATTCTGAAAAAAATGTTGACGACGCTAAGGATGAAGATAGTAAATCTGAAGAACTACTAAATGGTTCTAAAACAGAAGAAGGAAACCGACTAGCAGAGGATGACAAACCAGATAAGGAAGACAACAGTCTACCTGATGCAGATGATACAATTGGGGGCGAAGGTGTTGCAGGGGTTAAAGATGACCAAGACGCCATTGCCAATAAACCGTTTCATAAAGCTGATGCTGAGGGTAGCGTCAGAGATGAAGCCAAAGGAGCTAGAGAAGAAGGAGAAGAAGTCACTCCTGGGGATTCAGTGGGAGAAGACATTAAGAAGGGTACAGATGCCACCCACGAAACAGCCGACTCAACAGCTGATCCTGAAGAAAGTGAAGAGAGTTTGTCATTTGTGTTTGTTAAGGATAACTCTACCACGGGATCGGCATCTGTTGGAAAACACGAACCGGAAGAGGACATCATGGAAGTTTTAGAAAGACGAAGACGGGCTCGAATGTTGAGTGAGATGAATATTGAATCGACTAATAATTTTGACGACATGGAAGATGATTTTGCTCAGCGAGCTAAGGAAGCTGAAAAAGCTGAACAAGATTTTATGTTTATAAGAGAAGAAGAGTCGGATGGAGAAGCTCAAGATTACGATGGACCTGTAAGTATAGACCTGTATTTTGATTGCTGAGGGCACTAGAGTAGCTAGATAATTGAACTACCACTATTTACACCTGTAGGCACTTTTAATACACCATCCCAAAGAAATGTTCCAAAATGCAATTATTGAACAAATTAAATCTTGATTAAATACTTGAACTCAAAATTGAGCTTTAGCATCTCTAAGATGTTAGCTCTCGAATAGAAATCAAAAGGCTTCATTTGATTTGAGCTCAAGATCAGTGAAATTTAGTGACTCTGAAGAACCTGGTGTCGCTGTTCAATGGGGTTCATCAGCTTATTCCCAAATTTATTGAGGTTGATAAAACGAAGTAAGGTAATTTGAATTATTATTCTATAATTGGCTGAGATTGTTATTATCTATATATTTAAGGAACGGAAGGCGAGGAGGCTGAGAAGAAAACGAGCACCCAAGAAACCTGAGAAAGTTTATGTAAAGGCATTAGATATAACATCTATAGCTCCCGTAGAAGAAGAAATTAAGGCAAGTGAACTCTGGAGTGAATCAATACCTTTTACATGTATACTGTGTAAGTGTGTAGGCCAGGACTGTTCAATCGTCCGACACAAACACTAGTTACGCAAAACCAAATTGCTCCTTGGATGTGATTAACCTTCGATGAGTCAGTCCTGGTAACAGAGTTTGAAATATGAGCTGCATCAAATTCCTAACGATTCCTTCGCAAGTGTCTTTGGATTTTATTTTAGACAAATCTTAAGGTCTAAATTATTTGCAAATTAAGATGTTGGGTTGAGGCGGGGCCCGAAAATTCCTTGAAATGGGATATGAATGGTATCATTATTATAGGAGGATGAGGAAATTGTTGATGAAGAAGGTGAAGACCAACCATGGGTTCATCCCAATCAAAGATTCTTCCCTGATGGTCCGTTACCCAAGCTGGAAGTTCCCGAAGAAGACGCAGCCTTACCGTCGCATCTTGAAGAAATGTTAACTAGACGAAGCGCTTCCAAATCAGCAGAAGAACTGGAAAATGAACTTCTTCAAAGTAAGAAAATTCGTAATTCTTGATCTCTTGATCTCATCCTATCGTGTCCTGCTTTTCTCATACAGGCTATACCGTGGAGTGTGCAACAAGGAGATTTTTTGTAAGAACAGCGCTAGTCAGTGTGACTTCAATGTTCAATGTGAGTTGCACATGTGACGTTGGATTGTCACATTCTAAATACTTTTCCAAGGTATATTACTAATCCTGACCTGCAACATATTTTATAATGTTCTTATATTTCTGTTTTGACCCTAAGCTACAATTGTTAGAGCATAATGAAAATTCGTACCCTTTTTTAGTGCAAGACATTATGAATACTGAAATGGCCGGATCTTCTATGGCTGTTGATGAAGGCGAAGAAGGTTTGACTGAGCAAGAGTTGAAATTGGCACAAGAGCTCTTAGAGGTACGTAGTACTCTACTGCAATATTTAATCTGTGCCTTAAATTGGACATAGGCAGGAACACCCGAATGCAAAAAGTTTTAATTTTATTGTGAAGACATTTTGGTTTTCCTATCAATGTCAGTAGAGAGCCGAATCCTTCTTTTTTGATTTCATGTGGTTATAAAGTTTCAGATTTTCTAATATTTTTTTGTATCCTATTTCCCATTACGATTATGTCATAACACATACACTGTAAGGTTATGCGCTTTGAATATGTCGTTGCACCTGAAACCCATACCAGTTTATACTTTCTAGTGATATTAGAAAGTAAACTGGCTCATAAAAAAGCCAAAAAGACATTATCAACTATTCATATAGGATGGGTTGATATTCCCAGAGTGACATGTTTAACTACTACTATCCCCACTTCTAACCAAATGCTTTTTTCTAGGGTCGTGTAAAAGAAGTATCATCTAAAATATTTAATACCGGTACAGAAGAAGAAGCTACCGAGCCAGTGGTAGACGAAAAGCCGAAAAAGAAGGGTGGCAAGGGTAAAGGAAAGGGTGGCAAAGGTAAAAAGAGGCCGAAGAAACCGGTAGAAGTTGTGGTAGATCGAAAGCAGAGTATAGCAGAGGAGAGAGATTCAATAAGACAACAACGAAAGCTTGAAAAACTGGTATGTCACTCGTTACTTATTATATTTAGTTTGGACAGAAGATAGTATCAACAGCAAAACGGAAGTAAATATGCCTGACTGGGCGAAAATTTGTGATGTTAATATGAATCTGGAATTGTAAAACAACAAACCGAAACTATAAAAATTTGAGGAAAAATCTATACCAATCGAACTCAGAAAGCAGAAAGTATGTTTTGGTCCCTTTTGAAAAATGTTTCATTTCATAAAGTTAATGTTCCTTAGTTTAATTCCCCAAAACTCCATCCTTTAAGAGCACAACGCTTAAGAACATCCTAGTCCAAAACATCTGCCTCTATACCAGCCTCTGATGGTTATTTTGACAGTTGTCTGATCCAAATATCTATCAGAGGCTGGTATAGAGACAAATGTTTCGGTCTTAAGAACATCCATGCATTGATGATCGAATGAGTATGTCTGAAGTCGTCGTTATACTTGATGAATTGTATATGTTTTCTCTTATATTGTAGAGAAGACTAGAAGAAATGCAAGCACTGCAAGACAAAATAGCCCAAAGAGAAGAATTAAGAAGAGCACAAGAAGAAGAGATTCAAAGAAAAGCTAAGGTACGGTTTTTCATCTTGACTCTGGTCCTTTATGTTGCTCATATTACTTTACGTACTAGTCCAAAAATTCAATCCAATTTTAAACCAGTATTGCTGAGGGTTTTTATGTCTAAAACACCTTTAGACAACGTAGCTCTTGAAAATGTTATAGATTTAGTATGTAATTCTGATCATGAAATGTTTTAAGCTGTAGAGTACAAGTTTAAATTATTGTACTGTGGACAAGTAGCTATAAATAAAAGCTTCAACTTTCAACTATTAACGTAGGGTGTATCATCTAAAGATTAATATCTTCTTGGTGCAATGTCGAGTCCGCAAAGAACCCAAATGAGCTACTACTGCTTCTGGTTAAGACTCCATTAGCCATATAGCATGTAAGAAAAACCCGTTCTTCATTTTTTTCTTGAAGGATCTACGTTAGTACATGGGTTGTTTTCAAATCTAACTCGTTGATTTTGACGTATATTTTGCAATTATGAATGGTATAAGTCATTTTCCCTCTTATGATTTTAATGGTTGGTGGTATTTTAGGAACTGGCGGAAGAACAACAAGAACTAGAGGAAGAAGCAGCACATATTAAACAAAATGAAGAAGAAGCCAGAGAGCAGCTGGCACAAATAAGGAAAAAGCAGCGTCTAGAACGTGATGCTAGGAGAAAAGCTGAACAGGAAAGAAAACGACAACTAGCTATTGAGAGGCGAGAACGAGAAAAGGTGATGAGAGAAATTGCCAGGCAAAAAGAAAAGGAAATGTTAGATAGAATTGGAGATATTGAGACCAGACGTGAACTAATCGCCGAGGAGGAGAGAAGGATCGAAGAGGAAGAGAGGATAGCAGATGAGGCGTTACAGGTCAGTTGTCAATCCACTTCATACATGGAATATCAGGGCTCGACTGGATATCGAATCCTATTACTGGTTGTTATGGATTCGAATCCCAGGAATGGTCGAACCAGGAAAAAGGTCATCGTAACGTCACATTTTTAAAATTATTGGCTTGTATTGTGAAGCGATGATTGACCATCGTGGTTTATTAATAAATTTGAACTGACGAAGTGTTGTTTTCTGTTGCAGGAAGAACTGAGGGAGCAACAAGTAGCTTTAGAAGAAGAGGAACTCAGAATGAGAGAATTAGAAAAAGAGGTAAGAGTGATTATCTGCTGATAGGCCTATCACTTGAAACCTTCTGTAAGCAGTATTAGTGTAAATAATTGAACTGTTCCCTTGGGTATTCATTATGGCCCATGGTACCGTTTCAATTATGAAAATATCTGGCCTCACAAGTCCTTCTCAGTTCTTCAGATGCCATATACGGTAGACAACGTATCTGCCAAGCTGGGTGAAAATATGCTATTCCAAAATACTGTCCTGTGGGTCAATCTATTAGGTGAAGACAATTTGTGCCTGAAACGATAACTTTATATTGGAAGACAAAGGATGGATATTTGACTCTCTTCATATCTACCCAAGTGTATGACTTTGGTGGCTTTTGGAACATGACTTATGGGTTACAATTTGAAAGTCAGTTTTCAGTCAATTTGTGTTACACGACGCCAACGTCATAAAAATTTAGTAATACAGCACTAACAGATGGCGATCTTGTGTATAATTGTAGGCTGAAGAAGAGGCTATGCGAAGATTAATAGAAGAGAGAGAAGAAGCAGAGAGAAGACAGAGAGAACTTAAAGAAGAGGAAGAGCGAATCAGACAAGAAGAAGAAAAACTACGGTAATCTTTTAAGGATTTCGATCACTATCGCTTTGTGTATAAAAGTTTTTAGACCTCCGAAAAGCCTCTTATTATTGAGTCATATCACGGGAAGGTTAAATAATAGAGCGTTGTCCTTTGATAGTACCAGTTATCGTCAATTCCAACCAGATGGACTTCTTTTGAAGCTGATTGTGACCACATACTACTCTCGAAAGGGTGAGAAGTCGTGCTTGTGGGTAGACAAGATCCGAAGTGGTGAAACCGATGTCATTTTGATAGTTGTTTGTGTTTCCATATTGGCCATAGTTATCTTCATTTTGAAGATTTCAATATTTCTCCTATTTATTTGTAGACAAGCATTATTATTGGAAGAAGAAAGATTGAGAGAAGAAAAGCGATTGAAGGAATTAGAAGAACAAATGAAATTAGACGAAGAAAGAAAAAGACTGGACGAGGTTAGTTATGAGTTAAATCTGTTTTCTCACTTCCAAAAAATTGTAAAAAAAAAACAAAACATTTTATTTGGAAGCTCGAACAAGATGACGCTCGAACTTTGATATGGGATGTTCTTTTAAGAAAAACGAGAAAAGAAAACCCCTTCAAAACAACCACGTTTCAGCTTGGATTACTATCCCACTGAAGAAAACTTGTGTGCTGTCGGCAAAATAGTCTTATTGCATTTGAAAAGTGTTCCGTTCTGAAATCCTAATTTAACCCTTTTCAGTTAAAGAGACTTGAAGAAGAAGCTAGACAAGCAATGAGACAGGAGCTAGAATATAAGAGAGAATGGGCGATAAAACGTCGAGAACAGAATTTAAATAGAAGATCGCATCTAGATAAAATTAGAATAGGTCAAGGTTTAACTCGGCCCTGGGTTTTCTCATATTTTGTTTTGTGGAAGAAGGAATCATTTAGCAAGTAGGTTATATGTTTTAAACTCAAAAATACTTCTAAAGAAGGATGACATTCACAACAGTGCTATACATAGATGACAATGACCAAGATAAAAGCGAGAAACCTGATTGGATAAACTCCTTATGAATGAATTGGAGGCAACTGCTAGATCTTCATTGGGGAGTAGGTTATAGCTTACAAGATTGAAAGTTCCCTCACAAATATCTGTCTTTGAATTTCAGATTGATGGGACGCGATCCAAAATCCAGAAACTCTTTTCGGTTAAAGCCTAAAAGAAAAGCTTCAGCACCAGCAGAACCACCTGGTTCACCACCTCCTGAATTTATGCCAGGGTTATCAGCAATTGTTGAGGAATAACTAAAAATTGTCTTTAGATTAATAACCATGACAATAATAATAGTGCTTTAACTATCGTGCCCAACTTACCATTCCTTACAATGATAGAAACAAGTGATAGTTATTGACTGATCTTCTGACTTGTGATGGCCTTATGCTAGAAAATAGGAAGCTAGACGATTTATACACGTTATTTTATTACAGCAGAGGTAGCCGTAGCTTACTGAATGTATAACTGGGCTATTTATCTCTCTGGTTGATCCATGTACCCACATCTCTAGGCTTAATGTCCTGTGAATCTGAGCTATGCGTCCTGTACATCTACGCTATGCGTCATGTGCATCTTAAATATTCTAAGATATATGTCCAGTAAATCTGAGTTATGCGTCCTGTACATCAATTTGTATGCTATACGTGATGTACATCTAATACACATGGTCTGTGCATCTACGCTATACGTCTTGTACATCTAAACTATACTTCCTGTACATCTAGGCTATGTACACCTTAGACTGTATTTCGTTTCTAAATGTACCAGTATAGCGCTGTTCTTTGTTTTTTTTTCTACCTCTTTTTATTTTTAGCTAACATGGGAATCATTAAATTTTTGTTGTAGTACTGGTCTAGTCTAGAAAAGTTTTTCCGAATATGTTTGTATCCTGAATCCCATGTTCTTTTAGCAACGGCACGATGGATACCATGCATGAATCCAAGCTGTTCTGTGATTATATATTTACTGTTTAAATATATTAAATTATATTCTATTTGTTAATGTGTGTTGTTTCTTTATATATAATTTTTTATATATATTAATTATATATATTTTTAGCAGTTGTTGAAATAGTGGCATCATAAAACTCTTAGGGTTAAAGGAATGGTAGGAACCACAGACCTCTGACTGCCAGTGTCCCAGTAATACCACACCAAATTTAGGTCCATAAAAAGTGTATTTACTTTACAATTATATATCAAAGTGACCATATTTTTCTACCAGTATGTGCCTTTCAAAAAATGTCAAACTTCTATGATAGATGAAAGGTGGCTATCGTAGTCATGAATAAAGACGAAGTACGTACTTGCTTGACATTGTGAACAAGTTAACTTCCGTTGTAAGGAACAATTAAAAGTGTCCAATGCCAACAAGTGCACCCTGAACGATACGGACGGCTTAAGACAAAACGTCATTTTTCGACAAAGGGGTGCAACTCGTGCCGATAAACTTGATCTTAGAAGAAGGAGACCAGTGAGTCAGACTTTGAATTTATGCAGATATACACATAGGTCATCTTCTAGGTTTGCATTAATTGTCTGTATGAGCTAGGGTGGTGTCTGAAAGGTAATCTTTGAGACATAAAATTGTAGTAGAACGGTAGACTTCACTAAAGGATTACAAGGAGAGAGTAGATTTCTATGAACTCAAGGGTGGCATATTAGGGAGTGGACGATTGGGTATGCCCCTTTCCATCTCAGGCCAGTGAAAGGTCTGATTTAGAAATGAAAATTAAGCCCTCTAAATACTCAAACTTTATCTCTGGCCATCTGAAAACCGTTGGCTTCTGGGCTTTTGAGAGACACCTCTCTATATGGGCCTCCATTACTGGCTTTTTATACATACGTCACATGTCATAAGAACTGATACTGCACTTGCTTTAAAAAGATGCAAGAAGATAATCAGAAAAGAATATTTAGAAAACATATAAAGAATTTAATGTTCATGGACACATTCCTTTTGTTTAAAAGATTAAACAAGCAAATAACATACAAGATTCCTAATGATTTTGTCTAAGTTTGATCATCAATATTCATAAGCCATAACTTTGGCATGAGCAAGATATTTTCATTTATACCAAAATTGACAAACACTTAAAACACCATGAGTCTGATCCTTTCCAATTTGATTTGATTATCTTCTAGTTGTGGTATACGGAATTTGAAGTGTATTATATTTGTCTCAATCAAACTTGTACAATGCCGTTATTGACTTCACCTATGATTTTTGAAAAGCTTGCTATAAGCTTCATCAATACCAAATAAAAGAGCAATCTTTCCAATGAATAGATGAATCCTTTACGGGAAAGACAAAAACAAGTCCTATATACAATTTAATATCTGTATTAAGAAGTGTTATTTGTAATTTGTTCAGTCTGAGCCTTTTCTAAATCCTGCTTTCCTGGCTCTATATGTAAAGCATCTAATTCATCTGTAGGCATACTGGGAGTGTGCAGCTCTATATTGTTGTCATCATCATAACTCTTTGGTAGTTGGCGCTTCATAGCATAGGCATCTTCCCCATCTGCGTAATATTTTGGTTCAATCTCACTGATTTTGAACTTTAGGGTATTTGTGTACAAATGAAGGGCAGCACGGTTACTTTTACGAACATGTAGAGAAACATAATGAGCCTTAAAACATTCCACCATAGCCCGGGAGGCTTGGTCCATCAGTTTCTGGGCAAGACCAAGTCGTCTGTGTGAACGTTTAACAGCTAAAGATGTGATGTGACCATGTGGAATGGAATCTTCTGGATCCTCTTCCATTTTAGCCAGCACATAGCCAACTATATTCCCATCTGACGTTTCTCCAACATAAGACAATTGAGGCCATGACAAACCATGGTAAAAATAGTATTTCATTTGATAATTTTCTGGCAAACATAGTAAATTACAGTGTTGCATGTTCATTAAGTCCTCGGGTCGAGCACATCTTATATTCATTTTGGTAGGTGAATATTAGTTTTTCGTGATATTAACAAGGTAAAACTTCAGATGAAAAATGTTAGAAACGAAACAAATGTGTTGCCATAAACTGGTCTGTATTGCCGTAAAGAAAAATTTTAATACGACATTCATGGTTGGTGTAAATATTATTTTTGGACTTTCTATTTAAAAAAAGTATAATAGAATTCTTGAATACAGTTATTTTTGTGTATTGTTTGTACTCTGTGTTGTCTGATTTCACAGAAATTATGTGCAGTGTAAGAAAATGTTCGAAAGAGTTCAAAAATATAAAACATATCCCTGGAATTGATTATTACACACCACCGATGAAGAGAATGTAAAGGCGCATGCGTTAAAGACAACAACTTCCTCCGGCAAAATGGTAAGTGTCCAAGTGTCGCTTAGAAAGTTGGTGAAAATTAAACGATTTAAGCTTTAATTCAAAGCTATTTTATTGATGTTGTATATTACAAATGTCGTCGAAGTATGAAATTATTTGCATACACATTCATTCGAATTTTTTGCATCAGAAAAGACTTTTTTTTCTGTGTAAACATTGTCAATGCATGTGGCTTGACACTATCTAGCTTGTGATTGGCTGACACCTAGGCCTACAGCAAACACATACATACAATCATGCTAATACTATTAGAAATTTAAAGACAGAAATTTTTTTTTTTCTATTTTGGAACCTCCACAACGGCATGGTAGCTTACTTATCTACTAGGGCCTACCTATGGCTTTGTTTCTTTTGTAAACAATCCGATAGACAAAATTCAAAATTTATATTCGCAACTTTTTCGTAACACTGTCTCACACTCTCAGAATATTAATTTTACAATTCCTTTATGTATTTAATATTGTGATGTTATTTATTATTTTCAGGTGGGTATAGAGTCTATGAGTCGCTATGTTAGCCCTATCAACCCGGCTGTATTTCCACACTTAACAGTAGTTTTACTGGGAATTGGTATCTTCTTCATGGCATGGTTCTTTGTGTATCCTTTATAATTATCATCAATAGAATGAAATTATTCCAAATTAATTGAATTAAAGGAGTATTATTGCTAATTTTTTGAAAAATAACAATTCATTACTTTGATTGATTGAGAAGGAGCATCTTCTATAACTGTTCTATGACAATTTGATCCTAGCCTGAGGAAAATCCAATTACATAAGGTCAAGAAAGAAGTAATGATTGTGATCATTTTGCTTTTTCAACAGATCATTTTTGACATGCATTGAGCACGCAATTTTCTGTCTTCGAACTTATGTTTCATATTTACCAAAGTCTTAATGTCTGTTTCCCCTAAAATTCAACAAAAACGTATTACACAATGTTACTTTTGGTATATTTGACAATTGTAAAATAACAGTAATTGATATTAAATTAAAGACTGATAAGAGTTATGAAATTGGGCTCTTTCAACTATTAAGCAATATTTCCTTAACCCTTATCAATAGATATGAAGTAACAGCTACCAAATTTACTAGAGATATATTTAAAGAGTTACTGGTCTCATTATTCGCCTCAGTGTTTATGGGATTTGGTGTAATGTTTCTGTTGTTATGGGTTGGAATATATGTTTAGCAGTTTTATGTTTTGGGTAAGAACGGAAGATAAAAGAAGAATCTAATAGTGTATACTACTGTAGAAAAAGAAGGCATACAAAGTCCTGACTAATTAAAAAAAACAAAGCGGGTGATGTCACTTGCAAATACTAGAAAACAGATTTCAAATTAATGAAGATCTTACCTTAAAAGGCTTTGTTAAGAAATTTTCTAAATTTTTATGTGTATAAAGGAACACTGATGACATCAATTTTCACCATTCCTAATGCCTGTGGTTCCTGCAATTCCATTAAAACTAAGCATTGATAACATCACTAATTGCAAAATATAAAACCTTTCGAGTGACATCATCAAACGCTTAGATTTAGTGGAATTGCAGGAGCCACAGACGTCAAGTTGGAATTTCAAATGGTACAAATTGATAATATCAAGCGTCCTCGATATACATAAATAATTAAGAAAATCTCTTGAAGATAGTTTGTTATTGCAGTATGTTTTTTTTTTCAGGTTGAACAATCATCAAAAAAAGATCATGTTTCATGGAAAATTTCTCATTACGAGGGAACAGAAAAATTAAAAACACATGTATACTGCAATATTTGTTTTCTGTACATATTCTTAATAAAATATATACATTTACTGGAGTTCTTTCCCTTTAGTAATTGAAACTAGCAAGTTACTTTTCAACAGAGGGCACAGATACAGGGTTTCCTTGATTTCATATTTGTCTCTCCTTGCTCTCAGCTTCAACTGCCCTTAATCTTGACTATTCTTGGCTGTATGAATTTCACATGGGTTGACAACCTTGGAAACCGTGTCTGTCTGAACATTTGTTCTGTTCAGGGTCAATTGGATTTTCAAGCTGGATTGTCATCTGCAAGATTACTTCAGCTTTGTTTGGCCTGGCAGCAGAAGTTATTCTGTTAAGTAATTACTCAATCGAATATTTGTGCTCATAACCCTGGGCAGATATGTAGTCCTTTAAGTGAAATAATATGGAGGGCTCCACCAGCTGTTGTTTGAATGGTACCAATGAGCACAAATATCTTGGCTGACTTCAGATAGCTACATCCATCTAGTCATTTCTTGTAGTATTCAAGTATGTCATGGACAAGGGGAATATTGTAACCATGATATTTGCTTTCCTTGCTGATAATGCTCAATGTCAGCCATTCAGCTTTTCCTGGAAATCCTAAGAGTTGGCCCAACCCGGAATGGAGTTTTATCTGAATTTCCCTTGAATTGTTCAATGATCTTAAGTGCTTCTTGATATGCTAAAAATCATACAGCAATGCCTTATCGGTGAACTGATAATGTCGATACCACAAGAAGACAAGTTTTGTCCTGGCATCACCAAATAAGACTGATACTTTGAACAACATATGTTATTTTTATTTAAATTTTTGATTTCCCAATCCAACAAAATACAAACAACAAAATGAGCTTTTAAAAATCATAAGCATTAATTGGTATTTTTATCCGGGGTATTTGGCCTGTTAACTGGTACACTATCCTCTTCTCTAATGGCTTGGACGGTATTCGGACGAGCGGAAGTAGGTCTAGATCCCGAGCGAGCGGATGCTGGACGTTGTCCCCTGTTTCGGGCTGATACTGGACGTGAAGATGATGCTGGTAGGGGTTGAGATGTCGATGGAGGGATGACTTTTCTTATCGCTTTCGTTCCTTTTGGACCATGACCAGCTTCGGAGTAACCGCATCTACCTTTATATATTATTCCATCTGCACCTTGGACGTCTGATTCTTCTCCACATTGCTGAGTACATCGTGGGACATCCTTAGGTCTCTTCTCCCCTCCATGAATACTGGGCATGTTAGCTATTCGAATAGTTCTACGGTGTGGGAAGGTCATTGTGTGAAGACCACCACATGCTCGGGTCCTGGCGTAACTATCCGTGGCAGACTGACCTGCTAAGGCAACTTCCTTATGCATTCCAAGTGCTTCTAACTCAGATGAATAATGATAAAGAAAAGCCTTCAAATCAGATTTTCGAATTCGTGCCAGTTGTCTCTCCATCAGAGCTCTTTCAAAATTCATAATACTTTGACTAATGATTCCTTTAGAAGCTTTAAGTCTAATTTGATCCAGTTCAAAGATGGTATAGGGTCTAGCCGATCGTGTAGTTGGCATGCTACTCGGAAGAGGCAATGACGCTACTGGATTCTTTGATGTCATGTGGATGGTCTTATCACATGACAGACATTGAAATCGTTGAATCAACTGCTTTCGTAAACCTGCTGCATCATCATCTGTCCATCCAGGCTGTGACTTAGCGATCTTCTTGTTCAACTCTCTAATTCGACTGTCTACCCATCCTTTCAAAGGATCCATTTCCATCTTGTCAATCTTCCCATCTACATCTTCAGTCAGCTGATGGAAGATATTCTGCATTTCTGTTTCATTGCCTTCCAATTTGTTCTCAAATTCTCTTATAGTTTTGTTTATTTCATCTGTTGTTTTGTTGAAAAGGCTATAATTGACTTTGCTCTCCAATTGACGTTTATCTGCCTTCACATCGAATTCACCTAGAACGTACTCTTTATCAGCTTTGTTTTCGTAAAGCTGCTCAATTTGCATTTGCCTCTGGATATTAACATTGATAATTTCACCCGTGGTTGCATTTAGTTTCCCAATCTCTTCCTGGAGCTGGCGAATTGTCTGTTGCGTTTCAAGAAGAGCCTCATTATCCACGTTTGATACGAAGCCAGGAGTCTTATTGGTCGAAGCATTCGAAACAGATTTTAATTGTTCGATTTCAGCGTTCTTGACCCTGTCAAGGGCAACCTCAACAGCTTTTGCCATCAGCGCCAAATCTTCATCCACATTTTCAATTCTATCTTTAACCTCACCGAGCTGATTGTCCAGAATAAGCCCGAGACGTTTCAAACGTGTTCCTTGATCGTTACAATCTTCAGGCATGGTTTCGCCAAGCATGTTCATAACATCGTAAGTGACACTTCCTTCCACAACATTCGCAAATCTTTCATCTTCGTCAAATTGCGGCGTCTCAGATCGCTTTTCTTCATCTGCCACTGGTATGATCTTTGAAGATTTTTCCCGCCTTCTTTTCTTTCCTTCTTCCATGTCACTTGACAACTCTGACATACTATCTTGTAGGACGGTAAGCGTATTTAGAACATCACTCGACATAACACTGCCCCGACCGTTCAGAGATTCTTGGAATCCAGCTATCTTGTTTTCGAGACCACTTATCTTCTCCAACAAGTCAGTAAAAGCAACTGAATCGGATATTCTGTTTTCAACGATCTGACCGATATCGGGAAGAGACGCTTTACTTGCTATCTGAACGCTTTGGGGAAGTGATGCTTTGTCTAATGCTCCACCACTCTTCAAGTTGTTAATAAGTTGTTTGATTTCTTCTATCTCTCTTTGCATCAATTCCATCAGTTTAGACAGTTCTGATAAATCCCCTTTTTTCATCAAGTCTTCCAAATTCATAACTCGTTGTTCAAGTTGCTGCAAGTCCAAATTTTCAGCCTTATTTTGCAAATGCTCTTTCAAATTTTTAACCCATCCAACAAGCCGATTGTGTTGATCGTAAATGCTTCCAAGTCTTTCTAATACATCTACCAAGTCAGGAGATGGTCCCATACTTATTGTACTGTATACATATCCTGGAGAACTATGGCTCGATGCTGGTCTTCCGGTTGGTGGCCTTGATCTTGTTTTTCCTGATGGTACCTTTGATTTTGGCCTTGCACTTAATGGCCTTGATCTCGGCGACACTGTTCTTCTAGAGTCATAATACGATTCTTGTTCTTTGACGTCTTTTCCAGGTTCGGCTACAGGAGATTCAACATAAGACTCTTTGGCAAAATCTGTTTCTTTCAAACCGTTATCCTTATACATTAACATTTGACATTCCTTTATAATTTCCTTTTCAATATCTTTCTCTAAGTTTGATACTGGTGGTGGTTCTGAACCAGTAAAAGACTGATATGCCTCTATAATTCCAGTTGAAGCAGCTTTATCAGCGAACTCAACAGGATTGTCTATTAACCCAACACCCGGTAGATATCCGTCCAGCGTTCCTTTTCGTAGGGCCACTTCAATAGACACTTTTTTCTGATTATGAGTCATTTCATTCAAGTATTGAAATCTACAAGGAAAGAATTTATGGAACAAGCCCTCCTTAATAGCATCCTCGATCGTTTTCACACGAACTGCAAGATCTTCCGTTTCAAAATTCTTTTCCAATCCAGGCAGATATTGTCTTATTGTTCCCCAATTAGTAGCATCTTCAACAAAGTTTTCACGTTCTTGTTCATTCATTTTCAACATATCTGTACCACTTTGAGGGAAAAGATCTTTGAAGCTGTCGTTTTTAATGCTTTCTTCTATGTAAGACTTCCTTTCTTCCGGGCTCATTTTCAAAACCTCGTCGTCCAACTTCGGCAGGTATTGATGTACCGAACCCTTTTTGATTAAATCTTCAATGAATTCGTTCCTCTCTTCAGGCGTTTTCTTGATGAGGTCATCGTAATAGCCACAGATGTTTTCCACAGAGGTAGATGTTTTTGCTCGATAAAAACCATTCAGGGCATCTTCGAGGTAACTCCAAGTTACAAAATTATTCATGTCTTCAGCGGGGGGAAGCCTGTCAAGCCGCACATTCAGATTGTTTACACTATTATGCAGATCTCCTATTTTCTCATTCAAAGCCTGTAAATCCAAATCCCCAAGGCGGTTTAAAATACCAGTATTACTGGATAGGAGATTGTCAATTTGTTTCATCAGGTCGCTGACCATAGACATTAGTTTCTCAATCCCTTCTTCGTTTGTTTCTACTTTCTTTTTCAATTGCATATATTGCCACATATATGATAAAGGACGTTCATTATCACCTTTATCCAAAACCTGATCAGTTAATTGCTTTGTAGATGGCAAAGCATTGAGCTGCTCCATCTGGTTGAATACAATAGAGACTTTCTGTTCTAATTGGTGATACGGAGATTCATGCTTGTTTTCTTCTAAAGCCAGTAGTTTTGTGCCACCCAGTGCATCTCTTTCGAAATCGCTAAATTCGATTTCAAAATCTTTTAAATCTAGTTTGTTGATCATAGCCTTAAGCAGACGATATAAAACATTGAAATTAACGGCACCAACCTCAGGCGAACCTATTGCCAAATCCAATAGTCTCGACAACGTAATCGACACCATTTTGGTGTAGAAATATATCTGTGTTATTCTGATAAAGAGTTTACATTCATGGAGCCATATTTCTTTTGATTGTTTTCATATGACGTCATAATTGAATATAAAGCGCTTATACTGCGCATGTGAATAATTAATGCTGACGTATGACATATTGAGCTTAGTCAAGTTATTTAAAGAAAACCAACCACTCTTTGCCATTGTAAATAGCGCTCTACAGTTAAATTTTGCTTTTTAAATCAAGGCTTACGTCAATGGTGCGTTCTAATCAAACAGCTATCAAGCAAAAATATTTTGCTGTAGTAAAATCATAGGAGTATTGCGGGGTGTGAATTAGCCTGGTTTTGTCGGGTCCCATTTCTTAAAAGAGGCTCGATCATCCCCTTTATATGCCCCAATATTAAATAATGATATGTACAATTTCAACCCTGTGATAAAACTATCAGATTTTGTACTTTGAAGAATTAAAGGCCCAGAAAACTAATTTCCGACAATTTTGAGGGGCCAAAAACGTATCAAAATCTATATCTTTTTGATTTTGTACAAAGACACTGTAAATGAATCAATCTCTGCTGAACTTTTGCTGGGTCTTAATTCTCACTTGCTGGGGACCGCGCACCCTAACGCCGGGGCTGATGTGAACACACCCAAATTAGCCATAACGGAAACAATTTTTTTTTATTTACATGACAAACATAACAATATCATACCAAAACATTGAAATGAAAAACTTGTAGATAAAAATACAAAGATTCAAAGAGGATAAGTACAAATTGAACAATTGTTTGAGAGAAAAAAGGATGTGCAATAAGGGGAAATTTCGATAATGATATTCATTTCTTGTGTGGGTTATCGACATTGATAATAGTTACCGACATGGGTTATCGACATAATATGCTATTCATGCTCTCTTTGAGTTAGCGGCATTTAGATATTTTATTTTCTGTTTGAGTAATCGACATAAATATTCATTTTTGTTTTGGATATTGACATAAATTTTCTTTTTCCGTTTTGGTTATCGACATTAATATTCATTTTTTGATAGGCTATCGATATAAATTTCCATTTTCTGTTTTTGGTTATCGACATTAATATTCATAATCTGGTTATCGGTATAAATATTCATTTTCTGTTTTGGATATCGACATAAATATAATATTCGGCACAGAACATTTTTTCACTATGTAAAATGATTAAAAAATTTGAAAGTGGGGGCCAAGATGGGCCAGAACACGCCACTGGTTCGGTAATAACGGACCGATATATTATAAGGGAAAAGAAGTGGGCACATTGTACGCCGTAAGCTGTATTTATTTTCTCCAGAATTGTCCTAATTTGCAAGCGGGATAACCACCACCTATTTACCATAATTGGAATACAATACAGTGACATCTCATGGTGATTGGGAGGTTGTTCTTGATGTTCAATTAAACGAAGTGTCGCTTCAGCTACAGATCAAGGCTAAGCCAGCATTTCAAAGAAATATAGCCGATACTGTAGGCCTATAGTCATCACAGGGGTATTTCTGAGCGAGACTCAGGCCGACCTTGCGACTGGCATTATCTGCGGGCACCTGGATTTTTGAACGACAGCTGCCAACTGATGGTATCTGACAACAGTTGGATTTAGTTTTTCGATATCAGAGATTCGTTTAAGTCGACTTCGACCAATCGATGAGATGCCTGAAACGCCAGTCGACCTGAGCATAGTTTTACAATAGCACACACAATAGTTACTTTTCAAATTGGTTTTCATGTTGTATTCATTTCCTTAGATAATGCCACATCGCTACAGGTTTCCTTAATGATGTCATCATCTGATTCCAGTGAGAGAGTTCTGTACCTGATGTATTGGAGCCGACGATCACGTGACCTAATGAAGGCGTTCGATTATCTGGAAGTAGTTCTGCTACGGTGATTCGGAGCTGTACAGTCTGAAAATAGATACAGTTATAAATGAGATCTATACATGACTTAAAGGTATAGCCAATAGAAGCAAAAGTTTGAGCTGTACAGGCTGAAGACAAGTGATAAATGAGATTATATACATGATTTAGAGTAGAGTACAGTCTAACATGTATAAAGTGAAATGGGGTCTATTGTGCAAGCAGATTTTTAAGCTGTACATTGTGAACATGGATAAAGCTACGACGAAGACATATAATTCGGTTATAGTAGTATTTTTAAGCTGTAAAAATAAAGACTTGTAGGTCAGAAGAAGTGGATTTATTAGTAGTTATGGAATTCGAGGAAAAATTGGGGTAATGTCTGAAAGCAAACTATTCATATATCATTTTGAATTATATCTCAACAGTTACTCCAAATTCAAATTTCTTGGTCTCGGTAAGCAAATGATCAAAATGAACTTATCAGCATTACTAAAATTCGCGCACTTTTTCAGTTCATGTTTGCTCGTTTGAGTAGCAGACTTTCTATGTCAATAAACCTTTTATTGGTTTATGATACAGTCGTAACTTTAACTAAACGAAATAAAACTACCCAGATTAATGGTTAAATCAGGCATATTTATTAACTAATAGAAATACTTATTCAAGTGAAATCAAATACCAGACAATTCCACCTGGGAGAAATAAATTCATTACTAAAATTACTTCCGCCATTGACACACCGAGACAATATTGCGCAGGTTTCTATCGCGTGGGTATTCTTAGTCGTTTGTCAAAATTATAGGATATCCACATCATAAAAGTGGGCGTATCTTGCTAGGCAGCCACTTGATCGATTTCATTGCCCAACCTTACCTACAAACCCTTACTATTTCGTGATTTTCTTTTAAGTTTTCCCTGCAATCTTTTTCAAGTAGGAGAATAAAGCCTGGATGAACAGAAATTATGATTGTCCAGAAATTCTATGGTAGACTTCAATGGTAATGCGCCTCATTACCACCTAAAAATGTTAAAATTATCCACAGATTGAAAACCCCTGCAATAGAACCATTAAAACAGTGGACCAACATCTTTAGTTAATGAAATGGACTGGTAGACTGGTTTAACCAGGCATGGATGTTAACTAATGGAAATACTTATTCAAGTGAAATACTTCAGACTAGCTGTAGGGTACATACTGTTACACTATAACTCATTACTACAGTGACATTTTGTTGATTTCTAAAAACTAGCGTTATAGATGAAGTGGAAAATTGGAAAATTGATAGTAGTGAAGGGCAGTGGCTATTTACCACGGCTGAAGTAAGGTAGTCAAGATCGGGAATGATTCTTTAATTACTGGAACCAACAGGTTTTAATTATAATGACATCATCACGTGTTCAAGTTTTACTGCAAAAAGGATCCACATCTAACGATAAATGGACAAGTTGAAAATAAAATGGTATAAGTGTTCCCGATACACGTACAAAAACTATACCATTTATTCTCATTTGAAATTATGATAAAACCAAACCAACAAAACCAAACCATCCAATTGATGTAGATCTAACTACCAAATATCATGACTACCAAGCCGGGCGTTAACTTCAGTTAACTTGCCATCTACCAACCAACCAATCTGTGGTTATATACTTACAGGTAAGGCAGATGAAGGTACAGAAAAGATCATAGCCTCGTTAAATACAGGTGTATTCTCTCCTCGTTTTATTGTCGTTTTTCTTTTACTGATTTTCTTACCATTCTGTAGTAAATATACTTTAACAAACGGGTCTGAAATAGAGAAGAGTATAATCACATTCAAATAAGTATGGCTGTTCAGAAGATTTCATCGGATGAGCTCACATCCAGAAATTGATCGATAACTTGCAAATCGGATTTGCTGGGGTCGACATCAAGATCAAAATTTGCGTACATCTAGACAACTGGGTTCGGGTCAACAAAGTCATGCCATTAATTTTAAATATATTATATATATATAAGTATACCAGATGCGCTAATATCCAGAAATTGAACGACCGCTAGCAACTGCTAGTATGGGTGGTCGCCTTTTCAGAGCTGCTGTGGTCAATCACGAGATACAATTTGTACAAACAACCACGACCAACTGATGACACTCAATTCGATTGAATCCAGACATTGATTCCATTGCGGCAGATTTTAGTATCCATTGAAGGTTCGGCTGTTTTGTGTTTCTGCCAATCTCGATCTAAGATCACCTTAACAGTCTTTCCAAGGAGTATAGCTTTACTAATACATAATCTTACATAGACGTTGATCATTTACCACCCATCTCAATCTGATTAAAAGAACAGAAACTCGATTTCTGTACGTTACCCAGTTGTCAAAAGATATATAATTTAGATGAACTACTGCTGTAGAATGACGGGATAAATACCATCTGCTATAAACGTTTCCTATTCGACAGATGATTGGTTCGACAATAATTATAGCTACTGACACTGACAGAGAGCGGCTATAATTATTATAATATTTTATCGAATTAAATCACGGTGATGTTTTTAGAATTGATCGTTTGCTCGAAGTGAAGCATATTTGTCCTCATCTGGATGACATTCATTTTCTCCAGTGAGATCTGACAAGTTTGTTTTAAAATTTACAGCTGATTACGTGGTGGCTTACAGTGATCGCAATCGTGATTGATTGTATTATTTTAAAACAATAAACTTATCGTTTTTAACGCTGTTGTAAGATCAAAACGAGTTTGATTTTCGTCTACAACGTACACATCAACTGCCCGTATCGCTGTAGAAGTTTAGCCGTAGATAACACAGACGGAAAGTTTCAAATTATCGCTTAGGTCAACGAGAATCATTCAGACTGCCTGTCCATCTCAACAGTTTTTAATAAAGGCACTTATTTTGAACGAGGAAGCGTTGGCTAGACAGCGAATCATAAAACACAGCTTAAAATGCTCAATTTAGATCTTGAACGTCTAAACTGATGTTTGGTAGTCAAGGAACCAGTGTACTAATTTACTATTGACTTAAAATGGGGATTGTATACTACTTGTCTATTCCCCCCCCCCTCCCTCCGCATCCCACCCCTCTCTATGAAGCTTTAAATTGACAGCATTAGACCCATTTAATTTGTTTTGCCAGCTTATGAATTCCTTTATCAATTTTCAAAATGAACATCCTTCGTTCAGCTCGCGTTCAATTGAATACATACCGAAGGCTTTGAAATAGCAATATGCCAACTTTAACCATTATATCTCTCAGAAAGAAAACGTTCTTGCCATTCAATATCAGACTCAACTGACACCAATTTCTCAAAGTCTCCTTAATTGTAGACAAATCGAAAATTAGATGTTTGTCCTAATAAGTGACACAGGCAGTTTCACGCGATATGAGATGACAGACTGAATGATTAAATGAAACACAGCAAACGCCCACACATTTGACATTAGCTCTTGTATTCGTGTATATCTGAAGATTTGTCATAGCATGTTCGACAAATGACAAGCGTCAAATGTCACATGTCACAGTCCTAATAGCATGTCAATTTTACGGAGACCACTTACCACCGTAATCCTTATTATCCGTCCATTTAAGATTTCTGGCTTTTACAATAACAATAGTTAACCTTTCAGCAGTTGGTAAATAACTTAGACTAAACATCATATCACCATACTCTGTTGGTTTCTAAAATATAAGGTAAAGATGTGACTTCAAAACTAAATGATTTCCGTAATCCGGGTATACTGATGTTTATGGAGTATAAGGAATGTATTATATTATTTTGAACTATATAGCAAGCTATCGTCAGTGTATACCGAACAAGTTTTTCAAGAAAGACTGAAACAATCAATTTTTTACAAGGACAACAACTTAGATTCACCAGAATCCGTTTCCTCAGCTGGTCCTTGACCAAACTAATTAATGTTAATCCTTCCACAATTACACTGTACATATATCGAGCTTTATAAATATCACAAGAATCACTGCTATATCACAGAAGTAATTAGATTTTGCGCAAACAATATTGTCACGGAGTAGTCAGATTTGATAGTTTCGACTTGTTATTTCGATTGGCGTAATATTTGGTTCCTAGGTATCCCTTTGCCTACCAAACCAGAAATGACGAACCAAGTATCTTAATGACGAGAAAAGACGACAGAGATATCAGAATCACCTTTTCATTAGAATACAACATTACTTTTCGCTATAGTACTCCCTGTGGCGTTTGCTGGTACCCTCAGAAACGTATTCAATTCAATGCTTACCTCTTCAGAAATATCTCTAAGGTTTAACCACATTTTGATAGGTTGATTCAAGTCTACATCACCAACTCTGATTTCAGATTCACCAATCACCTTCTGCCTGGCATATTTATCTACCGAATAGACCTGAAACTGTAGAACTCTGGTTTCCAGTTGTGTTGGTTCTATGTTGAATAGAAACCGTTCTTTATATATTGGATCAACGCTGTTTTTGATTGTCTGAAATAGATAAAATTGTTGAAAGTTGAAAGTTAAGATACGGAGAAAACGTTAACTTAACACGTTGGTGGGAGCCATTGGCGTTTCTACGAATCGTTAGGTGGAATGGCCGAAATTTGAAAATTGAGGGGGGGGGGGGGGACAATGCCAACAAAACAAAAGACAAATTCCATTGCCAAAGGGTAAGATCAGAGTCAATGACTAAAGGTCTTACTTTCTGAATCATGTAAGCACCACAGCATCAAAACCATTCTGTAGTTGCATATGGCGATTTCACTTAACAACCTTAAATTCACAACTTTTCCGAAACTTAATCATGGAACCGTACTTCTAATGATGACATCTTTAAAGTGGTAATACGGTCGTTTCACAACCACTAGAGACCCAATTAAGTAGTAAATTTCTATCATGGGACTAATCAACTTACCTTGCTTTGAAATTTAGCAGCTATATCAGGAAGTAATATTCCTCTAATGAATGTATCTAATGTTCCAGTATATTGGTTGGGAGCTAGATCTCTGGCTTGTATAATACTAATAATCAATTCATTTACCTCCCTGAAAATACAATCATTTCCGAATATTCAAGGTGTTTTCCCTCGGTGATGTGGGTCGGACGGGACAACACAAAAAGCGTATAGATGTTTGGATTGAACATGAAACGGTAACACCGCGTGCTACAGGATGTGTACTATAAGGCAGATACTGCTGTGTTTTTTTTTTACGTTGTGACTCGCCGAACTCGAACTGGATTATCTACGACTTCTAGCAACTGACGGCATCTGGAAGAATCTGACCATCAAGTTAATCACAGTTGCAAGTACTAGTAGTCAGTCGAAAAAAAAACAAATGAACGCCTTGCAGTGTTCAGACAGGGGAATTTTGCCAAGCCTGCATAGATATATCCTCGGTTTAATAGTATTATAAAATATGATGTCTCATAACATCATAATTAAACTAGAAATAACCAGGTGGTGTTTTTCTCATTAAATCAGTTCATTATCCAGTTCTATTATCATTTATTACCTCACATAGACCTTAATCATAGTAGCGGTTGGTGGTTAATGCTCTGTTGAAATGAAATCTTAGCAACAATGAATCCCCAATTTCCAGATGAGCAATAATTGAGATTTATTCTTCAAGTTAATTACCACTTATGCGGTGCACTCGACCGTATAGAGACTGCTAAGCGGGAGGGTGGAAGCAATACGCAGCATCTTATCTTATCTGAACGCATCGACAACTGAAAAAATCATACTTTTCATTATTTGCTGACGTTCTTCTAAAATTAGGAGGTTAGAAACGGCTACGATCTAGTTGAACACAAAAAAGTACTTCCACTGTTAAGTTAATGATGATATCAACTTACTTGTCATATTCTAAGGCGAATTCCAACTGACCAATTCTTGGCATGTCTGGCTGCATTTCTAATACAGACGAATCAGACACCACACTATCACATGATTCTGCTCGTCTTATTCCCTGACCATATTCAAATTCCCACGCTGAAAAAGAATCGTCAAGTTTTATTTATGACATAACATGCAGCCTCTTGCGTTTTGGAAGGTGGTGATTTTGGAAAGAAAGATTGCCTGTAACGATGTGATTATTTCGGTTATGGTAGTTACATCTATACAAGTGGAACAATAATAAAATATTCCAGAAAGTACCGTCATAACCGTCATCTACCCGTATTATATTTTAACCGTTATTGATCATATACATTGTTCAGTACTTTATTTCTTTAGTTACACAACACTATCTATTTTAATCTGTCAAACCCAAATTGTTCTTCAGTCAAATTGTGTCTAGCTTTAAAATTGATTGTTCTTTGTTTTAATAGGTTCTGTGAATGATTTCATTTCAATACCATGTCTGCATACCAACGAGCTGGTTTTTTTTTATCTCGCATTTTCACTTTCACAAAATATAAATTTCTGGACCCTCGTCGTCATTCTTTAACATTCGTGTTACTAAAAAGATTTTTTCGTACTTTATTAAAAGTGAAATAAGAATATGTCGATGAATATAATTTTTATCAAAGCGATGATGTTCCTGTCGTATGGGTCGGTTAACATCATTGATTTTTCGTATGTTTAAATTCCAACAATTTTTTTTATTGTGAAAACAATACTTTTAAGTATCAATTAAATGTAAACTATCAAAATGAGGAACAATTATCAAATGCTTCATCGGGAGTTTCTAGTAGAAGTAAATCTAGGATGAACGGCGATCCCAGTAAGGACTGAAAGAAAAATAGAGGAAATGGAATCAGTCTGTGGAAAAGGGCGTCCCAAGCTTCCATGTGTAATACAGGGGGCATTGCATCTTGACGGTGAAGATATTTCACCATTATGTTTTACCAGATGCTTTGGAAGACATTTCCCATATAGAAACCTCCTCACCTGAGCGAACAATTAGATGCAATAGGTTTTAAAAAGAAATTTAAAAATTAACTCTTTGACAAGGAGAATAGAGGAATTCCAGGAAGTCTAGGATCCCTTGATGAGTCAAATATCTCGTATGAAATAAAAAGTGCGAAACAATATACATTTATATCAATTATGTATCACGAGTTATACAAAAGGTTATAGAGGCTGTCTTTGTGATGTTTTTCAGATAGACGTCTGTAGGTGTATAGATAGGATATGACACAGTCCTACAATACGTGATAAAGAATAGTTTATTTCTACAACATATTATAGCGTGGGTTGTTATTAAGGCCTTATACTAATCATGAAACAAAACACATTTGACAAATAGAATAAACGTGATTATATTCTATAGATAGCGTCTGTTAAAGATTAGGTCCATACTTTGTTCATCTGTTTCTAGACGATCTTCGTCTCCATTCAAATAAATAGTAAAAATTTGGCTTCGTTATGCGAGGTGTAACCACAACAAAAGTCTACATTATTTTGGTAAAATGTCACTACAGTGTCTGTCTGCAAACACCAAACACCAGACTTGGTGATATCAGATCTGTCACCAAGCGAAGATGGTAGAATCACTCCTCTGTTACTAATGAGGCATAAAGGTGTATTGATCTATTTACAATAAAGCTAGGATGTGTCTTAGTTTAATGTCTATAGAAAGCAATCAAATTGACAATAACTTCTTCAAAGTCATAAAAACTTGACAGAATATTGTCTACAGTGATAAGGTCCAATCCATTAAGATAATAAAATAACATTACTTATACAATAACCTATCAAGGAATCTGCATTTACTATCTGACTCTAATGTCGTTTCATGTTTATGAGCGTACTGATATTAAGGTTTCGATTAAAGGGTTTGTAAAGAGGTTTTCAAAATTTGTATCAGCACATATACATGTGTATGTAGCATCAATTTGCACCATTCCAATTTTCGACACGAAGTCTGTGGTTCTTGTAAATACACTAAAATTAAGTGTTTGATGATTTCACGAAGGACCTTATATGTGATAAAGCAAATTTCAGGATTAGTGAAGTCATCAAACTCTTAGTTTTAGTGGAATTGCAGGAGCCACAGATGTCTGATCGAAAATTGAAATGGTTCAAATTGATCAGTGTACTGATACACATACAAAATTTAGAAAACCTCGTTACAAGCCCTTTAACAATGCTCGAAACCATTTTAAAAAGAGGGAGTGTTTGTCCAAAGTATAGCTTAAAACTTTACCCAACTTCGTTAAGTTAACCCAAAGCCGAAAATCAAGACGACATCCTCTGTTCATAATTAGACAAAATGAACACGAGCACGTATACATTTCAAATCATAAATAGTAAAAGGGTGTCTGAAACACGTTGTTACTCACAGTTTCAAGCTATATGATCTTTAGAAAACTGTCTTACCTGCCTGCGTCACTACTAAATTTTGAGTAGAACTTATTTTCATGTCTACACTTCAAGAACAGTATATGTTTCAAATCACACTAACTAAATATGCATTCTAATTGTTACAAAGTACTCAATGCTTCAATTGTAGTGCAATATATATACATATTAAAACCTTTAATATTTATCTAAGATAAAACCACTGCGGCAATGATGGTTTTAATTGTTTTTTATTGACAATTTTTTTTTAATAAAATGAAAAGTATAGATTTTGTATTGACACAACAGTTGAGTGAAGTGTAAATTATTCCGTGTAATTGATTACTGATAATTAAACTATACACGATTATTCTATTGAGAAGATTTAGAGTGTTTTACCGATAAATGCAATCTAATATCATTGTAGAAGATGGAAAGTTTAAAAGGGGTCATTTCGTCTTCTTGCTATTCTTAAAGCAAATAATTGAAGAGAGTTGAATCAAAACGACAATTAGCAGAACGTACATAGTTACAAGTAAAGGATCGACTCTATACTGTACATTCATTTGATCAATCGTACCTTAGTCTCAGAAACTGGGATTTTTAAACTAAGATAATCAGTAATATTGTTTACAGCTCACAGTCGACATTTGAGCCTGCAAATTCAGGTGTGTTTACAATTTTCCGCGTTTGAAATTTAAAATGACGACTCGCCTTCTCTTGAGATTATGCCATATATTGAAAAGACATAATATATAGAACTAGAAAGTGAAATTTCTAGATTGAGGTGTTTTGAAGGAATTAATTATGCGATATCCGTATATTTCTAGTACTTCTTTATAGTACAATTTTACATATATTCAAGACCAAAATAACCGCAATCCCTTTCATTTATGTCAATGTAAACGTTGGTGTATTTTTAGAAGTCAATATTTAACCATATAAATCTGACTGTTATAGCTCTATTTCTAACAGAATTTAATTGAATTTCATGATTACACCATTTGGATTCTATTTCAGTCTTAACTGCGCTTAAGGGTACGTTTTCTTTCGGATAAAGAAAAAAAACCTCAGAGATCTTACATGTCTCGAAAGCGAGAATTTAACGTTATATTCCAATCAAGAACCTATATAACACTTAGGTTCAGTATGTCAAGCCATCAGTTCGAGGAGATTAAAATCTGACTTTTAACAAAAGAAATATGATTACATCAATCTTTGAAAGCTAACAGTTAATTCTAACGCCTTAGTGTACAAAGTGGAACTTGCTGTCGCTCTTATTGCTGATAGAGTCTTTCTCGAGCAGGGTACCATCTTTTTGTACCCCGAATACTAATATAGTCGTTATTGCTTAAATACCGTCTCTGAATATAAACTATCTACATAAAGGGATTTCAAAGCAATTTGTATTAATGTTTGAAAACGAGATTCATGTTTTAATGCTATAGAGAATCATAAACCGTCCACAAAGAGATTATATCAAAATATTCAGATCTACGTTCGGTATTAACTGATACCATTAAGGCGAGGGAATTGACGTAATGATGAGATGACCGAAAATAATGAAAAAGTTATCCGAATCATCCTTTGATGGAATTGAACGGAGGTAGCAAGGAGAGGATACAAATATCAATCTTGTTTGAATTCGACAGGTTGTTCTGCATGCGCCCATTTAATCATATCCTGATGTGAAACCAGATACTAAGTGTAATCTTCTTTTAAATCCAGTTTGAATTCGGTTAATCTTAAACATCACAGATTTAAGTGAGCAATTGATAACTACCATGAAAATTAGGCCAGAGAATCATAAGAGACCACAGAATTATATCATCAAATCATAGGTACTAAGAGTTAGGTCAGAGAATCGTAGGCACAAAGATTAAGTTCTGCTAATCATAAGACCACAGAATTAGGCCAGTTAACCAAAGGCACCACAGCATAGGTCAACTTTTCACGAAAGAAACATAAAAGTAATATTGTCACCCACTTTGTGGGCTATTTCTTGAAATGACAGAACCGTAACTGGGTTCCTTTTTCCAATGATTAGTTTTTCAATTCAATGAAAAATAATTGATCGAGGGAAAAGGTGAAGGGTAAGAGGGTCGGAGGGGAAGGGGAGAGGTGTTGTGAGACGCTCTGTAGTTCAGCATAAGTATTTTAGACTTTTATAATTTAAGCCCTTCGATTGAGTCAAGGGAAAGTCTGAGATAAAAAAAAACAGAAGGGCGAAAATGCAGTCGATAGAGGATCCTTGAGAATACCTGCTCTAATTTGAAACACTGAAGACAGAAGTATGACGATGTTTCAATGCTAATACATAATTCTAATTCTAAACAAAATTTTAAGATTTTTTTTTCGATAAGGATTTTCTGGTATGTCACTTTTCTAGTAAATCACAATTTGTCACCACGATTTTTAAACAAATATTGGTTTTGACAGTAGTTAATGACAACGTAAATCCCGGTATTATCAATTAATCACTTACCTAGTGAACTATTGGCTACTGACACTGGACTGCTTCTAGCACTTTCATCCTGAGATGGTTGCCTGGCAACAGTATTAGTATGACTATGACTATCATCCGTCGTTGTTTCCAGATTGGTATATTTAGGATCCGATTCCAGGGGGTCGTATTTAACAAACTTATCATTATTGTCTAAAATAAATTCTTGGGTATCAGAATTCACCTGAAACAAAAATACATGGTAAAGTAATGTCTTGAAATTTTTTGTCTTAATTACTCAGAAACTGCTAACTGGTGAGAAAAAAATGAAGTGCTGCTGCTCTAAGCGACTCTTCCACTCTGGAGAAATGTTTATGGAAACCTCAAAAAAACGGGTCCATGATCTCAGCTTTTAATTGGACAGCTTGAGGTGTAATTCTTATGATCAAACCCATGAGGCTTTGAACAGATACCTTTCCAGCACAAACAACGAATAAAATACAGTCAAGATGCAATGGCACAATCAGTGATGAATGCATACTCTTATACACACAAGCCCCCTCCCCCCCCCCCCCCCATCCTCCCGAAAGAAAAAATAACATAATATGTATCTCTCAGTAAGTTGTCTTACCATGTACCCATGACCCTGTTCGTGTTTGGTTAATATCGCCTTCTCTTCATCTTCAGCAAAACAGAAAGCAAGGTGATACAGTCCAAATAATCTTAATAGAGCAGCTATAGCTACGGCAACTATAGCACATATTGCTATTACCAAAATAGCTACTCCCCAGTCACTCATATTTCTTGTTCCTTTTTATCGACAGTCTGCAAAAACAAAACAAAAATAGTTAAAAAAGAATTTTAAAAAGTCCCTACTGTGATAATTTGTATATCGGCGTTTAACCGTTTCGGTATTAAAATGAAAAACAGAATTCGATTCTTGTTGTTTCATAATATGAATGCTTATCAATGATTAACAGAATCCGTGTTTTGTTGTTTCATATCAGTATTTATCAATGATAAACAGAATCCGTGTTTTGTTGTTTCATAATGTCAGTATTTATCAATGATAAACAGAATCCGTGTTTTGTTGTTTCATAATGTCAGTATTTATCAATGATAAACAGAATCCGTGTTTTGTTGTTTCATATCAGTATTTATCAATGATAAACAGAATCCGTGTTTTGTTGTTTCATATCAGTATTTACCAATGATAAACAGAATCCGTGTTTTGTTGTTTCATATCAGTATTTATCAATGATAAACAGAATCCGTGTTTTGTTGTTTCATATCAGTATTTATCAATGATAAACAGAATCCGTGTTTTGTTGTTTCATAATGTCAGTATTTATCAATGATAAACAGAATCCGTGTTTTGTTGTTTCATATCAGTATTTATCAATGATAAACGGAATCCGTGTTTTGTTGTTTCATAAAATCAATATTTATCAATGATAAACAGAATCCGTATCTTGTTGTTTCAAATTACATTTATCAATATCTATCAATGATAAAAAAAAGTATCTTGTTGTTTCAAAATATGAATGTTTATCAATAATAAACAGAATCCGTGTTTTGTTGTCTCAAAATATCAGTATTTATCATAGATAAACGGAATTCGACTATTGTTGCTTAATAATATCAATATTTATCAATGATAAACAGAATCAGTAGTAACTAGTATTATCATGATATTAACAGTATCTATCATTGATAAACAGAATACGACTAGTTTTGTTTCATAATATCAATATTTATCACTGATGAGCAGAATCTGTGCTAAACATCAATATGTCAATGATAAACACTATTGTCTTTTAATAATATAAATATTGATCAATAATAAAGAGAACTCTTATTTTTTATAATACCAAAACTTATCAATGATAAACAGAAACTGACACTTATTGAATCATGATTTTTATCAAAGGTAAACATATTCTGAGATCAACATGCACGATGAAAATGTATATCAATGATATCAGCATTTATCCTATGTGTCCATCACACTGAAAGATGATGAAATAAAACAAATAATCACCCACATGATAGAAAAGGCTCCCTTGAGATCAAATTGAATTGAGATTTATTCAATTCCCAATTACTGCGACCGGAAAAGACAGGAGTAATTACCCCCCAGAGAGGTTTTTTTCAAATCTATTTTAGAGTTTTATTTTGTTTTTCGCAACAAGTAGAAATGTCATTATTTCTCGTTAAAAATAGATAAGAGTTGAATAGAAAATTGATTTTTAATAAAAGAAACACTCGACTGTATCAATGAGTTTAAAAGGTCAGCTTCAGTGAAATTAAATTTCTTTTTCTCTCTTTTAATTTTTTTACAACACTGAACACAACATATATATGGAGTTTCTACAATTGGATAATACGATATCTGAAGAGCCCATTCCCATCTTATACTTCAGATCAAATTACATCACCAAATCCCTAATGTGTAAATTCTTATACTGATCACATTATACAATAAAAAGAAGAACTGATCGAAAATACATTATACATCATCTATGTGAAATCTAATTAACATTACCACAAAGACTTCAACACTGTTGGAACGTTCTAACACTGGGTATAGACTTCCATTATCATTCCGACGTAGGAACGTTTTCACTCTGTGTGAACATTACCGCATTAACATTTCTTCACCATCAAGACATTGAACACTTTTCAACTGAGTTGAGTCTCTTTTCACCATCAAGAAATTGAACACTTTACACCAGAGTAAACACTTATCAAGGCTGCCTGAACACTTTAGTGAATGGTAGACACTTTCATTACCATTAAGACATTGGTAACCTTTCATACCGAGTAATCACTTCCCTTACCATCAAGAAATTTGTAACTTTTCATGCTGAGCAGGCACTTTCATTACCATCAAGGCACTGGAAGCCTTCACGCTGAGTAGACACATTCATTACCATCAAGACATTGGTTACCTTTCATACTGAGTATACATTTTCATTACCATCAAGACATTCGAAGCCTTCACATTGAGTAATCACTTCCATTACTCTCAAGACATTGGTAACCTTTCATACTGAGCAGGCACTTTCATTACCAAGGCACTGGAAGACTTCACGCTGAGTAAACACTTTCATTGCCATCAATACATTAGTAACCTTATATACGGAGTAGACACTTTCATTAACATCAAGACAATGGGTAATCACTTCCATTGTCATCAAGACATTTGAAAGTTTAAACACCGAGTTATACTCGAAGATACTGCTGTTGTCTGGAACACGTGTTGATAATGTTGCAATGGGCCCAACAAAAGTAACCACTTCCATTAAAATTTTTGTATTGTGGATTTATATGTGAACAAAACAGTATATTTTATTCATCATCACACAGAGGAGCCTTACACAAATTCACATTAAAGGGACTTATGCGCCATTTTGGTGATCACTATTACTGATTGAATTAGCCAAAATAAATCCCCGTTTCTAAGACTAAGGCATGATTGGTCAAAATAGCCAGTCCCTTTAAGTTAAACAATTATTACGAAATTCAAGACAATTTCAACAGACATCGTATCACATTACCGAACCTCGAGACAATTCGGTATGAAATAAACATTTTCACCTTGAATTCGTAATCATTCTGAAACATGAGTTCAATAACAACTACTAGATATAATATCAACTTCCTAAAGCAATTTATTTGAAAATGTCAATCATGTTCATTAGGAAACTATTACATTTCATAGGTTAGATCTCTTAATAAACCTAATCATTGTAAAAAAACGACCAGATAACTATTATTAATTTCTTGTTCTTATTGACATGATATCTTTTAATGATATTTCTGTAGTTTGTAGGAGTTTATATATTAGCAATTAGATATAGCCAAGAAAGCTTCATTATCGTATTTTTAAAGGGATTGTAAAGAGGTCTGTGGTTCCTGAAATTGGACTAAAACTAAATGTTCGATGACGTCTTTAATCGCTAAATATCCTTTACCATTGGAATGGTGCAAATTCATGCTACCGGTGTCCCCGCATGAAAATTTTAGAAAATCTAGTCGCCTGCGATATCACTGGCTACACCATTCAAGAGAAATGGACGTCTACTCCTTTAACGTTCATGTATTTGAAATACAAACTGTGGTTTTTAATAACTCCTTGTCAGAGACTTTCTTGGAAGACTTATATTTAGTTTTGGAATTTTCAATAATTACTTAAAAAATATAGGGATATGGTTACTTGAATTTGTAACCATTGGTATCTACATGTTAGAATAATAAAAGGACTCTTACATTGATTAAAGCCGGTTGTTTTACAGGAACTACTAGACAAACCGGAACAAGATTGTTTCCGAAACGTGCTGATAACATTTATTATGTGAAAATATTGAGACGTTTATATATCATTTATAAATCGAGAGGAATGTCTGAAGATCTTGAGGAAGTTGTCTTTCCTCATTATTCCAATGGACTCAAACTGTAAATGGGTACTTATAATCGGGGAAAGATCAATGTCAAGATGTTTGCCCAAGGACAAACTGGCAGACCTAGGTTGTCATACTTATAAAAATTGATGTCTTCCATCTCTTGAATGTGATTATTTGTCCCTAAATCAAACCAGAAATCCTGATGAGGATTTTAAATCTTGAACATGTGTTGGCATCAAGACATGAGCCCTTGTCTATTATTGATAGGTGGCATTTCATGGTTAAGTGACCCGTGTGAATATCTCACAAGTTGCTAAGAGTACAGATTGAAAAATTGTAGACCGTGATTAGCTAAAGAAAGCCATTTTTGTAAATGGACCGATATATATCACTGCAATTGTCGGCTGTAGGTAGATTTAGTTTTAATGACCGTAGATTAAAAATACATGAAGACTTCATCATTACTGGTAATTTTAAACCGCTTATTGTTATCATCATCCTAAAAGTATAGTACCTCTTTTGTCAACGAAAGTTAACGTTTTCATTAAAGCTATCATGCCTGAATAAGATAATGTTTTGATAGCTGTATCAATCTTCCACAATATGAAATATTGTTTTATTCGTATCCATGTGGTCTGGAAAAATTAAAAACATTAATCTTTGTGACAACCAAATTCTAAAATGTGATACATGAAAATGCTACAATATTTGAAAAATTATGATTTAATGAGCTTGCCCGCTTGAAGATCTGAGGGATATCGAAAACAGTAGTCTTATGTGGTTGTCATAGCAAAATTTCCCTTATTGCACACCCATTTTTATGGAAGTAATTATCTCTATTTCATTTCATTTCGTTTGACGTCAAGAGGAAAATGAGTCAATCAAGAATTCAACAAAAGTATAATAACATACATTAACATTATTGGAGACATTTAATAAAACTTGACTACCTAGTTACTCTGTGAAGTCACCGTAAGAAATATTGGAATTGGAATTGTCAATGACATCAAAATTACATATAACTTGTCATAAACTTGTATTTAGATGAAATGAGAAAAAATATATTGTCTTACTGTCTCAAGGATTATAATATAAACATGTGATTTTCTTTTTAGAGTTTAGTTCATACCAGTTACAGTTAACATAGACATTTTAATATGTTTACGTAAACCTTTTAAATATTTTGGGCGTTCAAATATTAACAGCAAGATAATTTGAGTTAAAACTTTCATATAAGGTATAACTATGAGACAAATTTCTCTAAAAATTAGACTACTGCTTTAAGGTACAATGTCACTTTAATCAGGTTTAATTAATCTTAAATTTATTAATTACCTTTTCTGTGTATATTAGTACGCCTTGCGTTTGTACCTCGTTCATGAAAGTGGCCATT